GAAGTTACTCCTCCAAAAGATCTATGATTCCAAGATTGCCATCGACGAGTCACTTGTTTTAGCTTGCGATAAAGCTCTTCAATAAAGTGATCCTTCTCTCTCTCCCGTGACAAGTTCTGTATTTCTGTTTCAAAAGCTGAGCATTGTTCCGCTAACCACACCTCGCGGGCAGTCTGGGATAATGCTTCAAGGTCCTCATACTAAATGAAAAAGAGATTATGAGTTCAATCTCCATAGTTCATTTCTCTCTTGGAAGTTAAAAAACAAAAGAAAGAAAAACTAGAAATAAGAAACATTCCCGGCCTCGGTTCCTTAATGGTTGACTGGAGCTAATCCAGGGTTAAAGTTTTATTGCATTAATTTACCTTTCAATAAACTGTTTTTACATATCACTTTGAGTTTATAATGCAATTGGGGTCTCAGAGTAATGGCTCCACAGTATTTTTTATAGCTCGAGTTATGCTTCACCCTGGATCGGTGTTTACTATTTACGGCTGTTATTAGTTCAATCCATGCTAATGTTACTGCTTTGAACACCTTTCAAGAAATTTATTGCAATGACCCCCAGAAAAATGCCCCCCGTCCCCTACATCACAGGAGAATGTGATAAATGACCAGCCCCCAAAAAGTGCACCTCTCTGTCATGGCGTAGACTATTTTTGGTTGATTATAACCATTAGTGCATTGTTGGTAATTAAAGGGTTGCTCAAAAAACCACCACCATACCCCACCCCCCTCCTGCTCCCTCACCCAACATTCAAGCCAAGCAGCATCAGACTGTTGCATACTATTCTTGCCTCATGACTCTAAAAACCTTGACTCGATTTCCACTGCTCTCTAGGTCCTTCCTGTGAAGAGAAGTCTTTTCGGGGGAAGGGCGCAAGCTCATTTCCTGAACAGCAGCTGGTAACCAAGCCTATCATAAAACCTATTATAATTTAGACTCAAACCGTTGCTGATGGCTGCTATGGCCTGGTCAAGTGTACATACAAGCTACTGACCTTTCTATATTGACAGTGTGAACTTTCATAATAGAGAAGCTATGCCCAAACATATTTATGCATACTCAATGCCTAAAAATCTTCATTGATTCCTTTGCAGCAAAAGAGCAAAAAATCTTACTGTAACAAAATTAGGGATTGCAGAGGGCCAAAAAATTCAATGGAACAAAATTGATTAAATGTAGCAGGCTTAACATGTTTCTTATTCTAGAGATAAAATAGACATCGAATACATGCACACCAGGTACAAACAAATTTCATGGCATATACTCACATAATAATCTTTCATCATGTTCATCCAGAAACCCACAAGCCATCGTACAAGTACTTGTTCATCTTAAACATTCTTAAAAAAGATCAAAACATTTTTAATGACAGTATGTCATTTGATGAGCAATGATTTTCTGCACGTATATTGATAGCCAGTTAACATTTTACACACACAAAGACAATCTTAAACACAGTTCAACATTACTGTGCTTCTGATCATCCTACCCCCTCCCCCTCCCTGTGTCTTGTAAGCCCCAACATAAGATGTTCAGCATATGGGTTTAATACAAATGAAACATTTAGTTCAACCTTAAAGCAAAAAGAAAAGCAACAGGGGGGATGATTAGTATGATCACAGCCTTGGCAGAACTCTACTCCTAAGAAGTCTTAATGTAAGGGAATGACTAATGTGAAAAATCTTACATTACCATTGTTATCTTTGCTAATTCATATATCAAGTGCTTTATTCTTTGGAGCTAAAATAAATCATATTTATCACCATGATTTTAATGTCATATAATTTGCAACTTTTCTAGACTGACAGGTGCTGTTTGGCATCAAGCAAAATGAGAGAACAGGAATTTAAATTCACCTGTTGCATCAAGAAACCCATAGGTAATGTACTGAAACAAGACTTGGCTACAATTAAAAAAAAAAAAGTAACAAGCTGCCGTTTCCCAAGTTGCATGCAGCAAAAATGAACACCTATAGCAAGAGCAGTGTACATCTTTTGGAGAAAAAATTAGATTGAATATACAATAAAAATGAGTGGTATTCAGTCTATTCACTATATAAAGTCAGCATACCACATGAGTATTTAAAAACAAAAAGGACTATAACAAGAAAAATTGAAGCAGTGATCACATGAATTTTGAAGTTCTTCATCAGAACATGACATACACATATAAACTGATTCAAGAAAATGAGAACCTGTTTGATATTTCCGGCTTAACAGGTTCTTGTATATAGCACTGGCAAACTTAAGCCAAACAAGTTTTTAAGAACTAGGTTTTTACTTGCTTCAATGTAATATTAATTTGTATAAATCTTGTTCCATTTTCTGTTATAAGTAAACTTGAACTGAGAAGATACAGAAACTGTGAGCAAATACAGAGGAGTGAAAGTTTCCAAGCTGTCAACTCATATGAATTTACATAAATCTTGTTTTCTCTTTCTTTTTACATATTGGGTATTCAGTAATTATTTATATAGTGTGTACGAGCTATAATAAATTAGCTCAAATTACTCAGAAATGTTTCATCTATTGAAGTAAGATTCCCAGGATAAGAAACCAAAAATAAATCTAACAAATACATACATTTTAATCTCAGAGTGACATTTTCCAACAAATGATTGTAATTTTGCAACACTGAAACATTCAACAGGTGGGGTTGGGATGAAAAAAAAATTAATAAACCAAAAAATTTAAAAAAAGGTTACTCATGGACTTCAGAATAAACTAAAAAATCCTTTTTAAATGCATTTTATGCACTCCAATTTATGGATTAAAACGATTACGTCATTACTTACACCGCTAAAAAAGCGAGTTGAAGTGTAACCTGGCCAATCTTATTTTGAACAAAGAAAAACTAATTATTCGTCTGACGAGAGTAGTGGAGATTTGTTGAGTATTTGGTTAAGTTTTGGGAAAATTGTATCCTTAAATTTAAGTGGGTTTAAACTTGCGCAAATTTAAATTTTTTCGTGGTTTTTGAAGGATCATCTATTATTTTGAAACACTTAACAATATTGTTGCAAAATTTGCATGTTTGTCAAAATAGATTTCGTAGCTAAGGTCTGTACGAAAGGGTTTGAGGCCAAGAAAACTGATTGAAGTAAACAAACTTTAAAATGAGCTTAATCCACAAACCTTTACGTTAATGTGTACAACAATTTTTCGCCCAAGGAGTCATCATTTTTTTGGCAATGAATGAAACGTATTTTCCCGCAATTTTTCTAAACGTTCCTACACACCTGCACTGGGTAAGTACAATCGATCGCGAACCACATTGAAGAACTAACTCAGATTTGACAAGCGATAAAACCACAGCTTCTAAAACTCGCTATTGGTGTGTGGTAAAGAAAACAAGACAACAATTCCGAAGAATTTCAATGCGTGACACGAGACGCTAGGGTCACACAAACCGACAGAAACTAAAAAAAGATACGGTGGATCGAAACGAGCCATCGAAAACTAGCCACAAGCTAAACGACAACGTGATCAAAACCGAAAAATATATTAATTGAATGTCAATTTCGTTTTATCTAGCACGGAGAAAATATTTTCTGAAAAGCAAAGCTTTTTCTCGCACAATGGCTTAGAGTATATTACACTAAAAATACAGAATATTCTTTGTATACTATTTATAGTTAAAAACCAAGTTCATGTGTAGAGTCACTAACAGACTTACATCATATATTTACAGATTTACATATTAGTTTTACCCTTTAAAATGTAGGTTATTTTCATCATTGGCAAATATCGTAAATGTCTTGAATAATATTCTCAGCAGAAAACAACTTGTATTACAGTTTTCTTCCTTTACAATTTCACGGTGTAACTTTTCCCAGTCGGAAAGCCCGAGCGCTGGTTTTATTAAACGCTGGGCGTCCATGATATATTTCTCCCTATTTCTGGCTTCAAAAGAAATTTCCACGATTTCAAGAAAAAAAGTCCTTTTAGGCCAAAGTGCAATATACTAGAAAGAAAATTAAATTGAATGACGCTCATTCGAATATGGGAGTCATAAAATACGAGCAGAGAAGAAAGAATTTTAACTGTCAGTGAGATTCTTTGTTTCAAGAAAATTGTATTCTGTGAATTAAGAGAAGAGCGAAAATATCACGAACCGAAAAAATAACTGGCACCGTAGAAGAAATGACCATTGGCTTACCTGAGGATCCCAAAGACATGACCATCAAGGCGTCTTGTTTTGGTTTGTAAAGTTCATTCATATGAGACCCATTCAACGCTTCGCTGGCCATAAATATTCAATGATCACACGTATCAACAGGTGGTTGTTGACAATACTCTTGACCACGTGGACATGGCGTTGAGTGACAGCCATTGTCTTAAAATGGTTTTCTTCTCAGCTTCCGCTTCAGTTTTGTGCCACATCAGCTGGCTTTCTTAACGATATATATTTTTTTTCCTTTTCGCATCCATTTTACTGAAGCGAAACTTCCGTTTTGTGGTAGGAGCCGCGCGGTATTAACCTGGAGTCGTGTGGTCGTTTGTTTCACGGCGCGTGTTTTTAACGCGTAACGAAAGCACTGCCAACTCCACAAGTCCTTGATATTACTGAGAAACTAAAAACAGAGCACAAAAAGTTAAAACAAATCAAAATTGCATATGATAAACATACGCTCGATCGAAGAGACGAAACTCCCCGACAGAACAATAATCGAATACTAAGTAAGAGTAATCGACTTGGACGTAAAACAGCTGATTGAGAAAAAAGGATAAAGAATAACATCTTGTTCATCTTGACAACCTGCTCTCTAGCATGCACTCATACAGAAACATTCTTCTTACATTTAAAAAGATTAATTTCTTTCCACATTTGAGTACATTTTGCTCGGTTTGTATTTTCCGCCATTTTGTGAAAAGCGTGTAAGGTATTGTGGGATCGAACATATTACGGAGCTCTTGATTGGTCTAATTTCTGTATCTACGAATAAACCAATTAGAACTCGCTTTATATTTTCATCACTTTCCCGCTTGTTTCTATGCAACGCAGACCGGAGCTTAAATCAAAGATGGCGGATTCATCATTAGGCATGTTTTTTCAGAGAATTCAGCAGTTGTAAAGGCTAAAAAACCCAAAAAACAAAATCAAATTTTTCTTAAGAGATTAGATATGGAGGGGACTGTAGCAGGAGTAAGAATTGTTCCACCCGTAGTGGAATTTTTCGATGCTGAAACAGATGTTGTGCATCAAATGACACTAACTGTACAGAACCTGAGCAAGTCTTCCAAAGTCATCCGATTTCATGGTCCTGCTTCGAAAGTAAGTACCTTTTGTTACCTTAGTTTTAAAGGAGTTATGGATAGCTACTATATGGTAGAATAACTTGTGTATGAATAAGCTGATGTGATGCAGAATTCTGCTTTATCAGTTAATAAAGTAGACGTAAACAGCGTTTTTGCAGATTGTATTTTTGGGTCACGTTGATCTATGAGGCCAGCTGGGTTGTGCAGAAATTTACCTGTAGGGCCTTTCATTACCACCTGATTTACTTCTAGTCGACAGATACTTAAGAAAACAATATATTCGTTCTTTTATTGCATAGTAATTGACGTTTAAAAATAAAATCGTAAGAATAGAATTTGCAGAACATTAATCTGTGTGTTATTTTATACATGACTATAAGTAACTTAAATGCACGTCAATACTTGTACTAAGCTGACCCTCAATGTTTTCTTAGCTGTATCCTCACAAACGATTTTTTCCACTAAATAGAGGTTTGTCTTTCATAAATTTATATTGGAAGAAAATTAAAATAAACGTTCTAGGGTTGTATGTACTTGAGGTTGTGCCTGCTTGGTGTTATTTTCCACCAGCCACTGCACATGTTTTTGAGAAATTGTAAATGCCAAGACTAGGAATGTGTTTGAATAACTTGAACTACTTGCAAAATAAGACATCACATGTTAACCACATTCGTGCGTCAAATGTGGTAAGGACGTGACGTCTTACTTTCAGTGCAAGCAGTTCACTGTACATGTTAAGTCTGATATTAAAGTTAAGGTTTTGCTGTATTTGTTTGAATTTGTCAGAATACATTTTAAATATTATGTTAAATATTACTATTATTTAGCCTGATAAATTTTAATTTTTCTGCCTTTTTTTCTAGTGTTTCCGCTTAAAAGTTAAAAATCCTGACCATGCTATAGCCCCAGGGTTAGAAGTGTCTGCATTGGTTGAATATTACACCACAAGGGCTGAAGATGCTCAAGATAGAGTTATACTTGTTGCTGACAATGATGTTGTGGAGATTCCTCTAATGGCGTAAGTAACTTGTGCTTTCTCTGGTTATCTCTTGGTATCTGACACACACAAGAGTCCAGGGTTAATTTATCCTGCATAATTTACTGAGCTGAGATTTCTTTCCTCACAATAATAGTAATAATTTGCTGAGGTGAAAGGTGGCCTAATATTAGCTTGGTTTTCAGAACAGGTTTTTTTGGTTCCGCTGTGTTTTCTGTAAAAATATACCGGTAATGATAACAAACTATATATACATGTATGTTGCGGTTGATTTTTTATTTTAGTTAATTTTTGTTTTTCCTTTGTTTCAAGTTAATTAGCATACATTATCATACCCAAAAACAATGGAAAAATAAAAATGTACTGAGATAAAAAAAAAAATTAACCGCAACATATATATGTTATAGGTCAAAATTAAATGTGGGTTAAAAATTTTTTAAACTAGGTTTATTCTCAATTTCCTTTGTCTCCTAGCCCTAATTATTTACTATCCAGGGGATAAGTGTTAACCAGTGTGTTCTGCGCTGGACAGAAATTAATCCAGTGGATACGTAGTTTATTTTTTATCTCAGGTAATTTTTATTTTTCCTATGTTTGAACTTCATTAGTATACATGTACAGTACCATACCCCAAAACAAAAGAAAAACAAAATTGAGCTGAGATAAAAAAAATAACTACAACAGATACTTGTACAAGTGTAGTGTTATCCATGGTCCAGGAAATTTCAATAGCAAGTTTAATACCTTTGTTTCCTCTAATATCTGAAAGAATATAAAACTTCTTTAAGCGAGCTAGAGCTGTCACAAAGATTTCAAGTTCCTTAATGTTTGCAATTAATAGATGGGGAATTGATTAGTGAGGAAGTTCCTTTGTTTCCTATGAAAGTAGGTGGGGGTTAAGCTTATAGTAGCTGAAGGAAATACGCAGCCCCTGGCTCTAAATGACAGCCCTGTTGTTCAGCATTACTGCACTTTTCAAACACAGGTAAACTCTGAAGTTCAAAAGCCGCCTTCACAATTAGTACTTTTTTCACTGCTGTCAATCATAATTATGATCACAACTTAATGAACCTTGAAACACAGAAACACACAAAACAGATCAAAACCCACCAATCACAAATCAGAAACCATGACCTTTTGAACCCATTGAAGTGAACATCTGTTTCCTAAGACGTCCGCTGAGATGATTGACGGCAGTGAAAAGTGCAAATATCAGTTGACTTTTGAACTTCAGAATTTGCGTGTTTATGAAAGTGCAGTAAAGCGTGAAAAACAGAAAAATAATGTGTGATATTTTCTTTTCCTCTTTGTTGTTAGATACACCCCATCACCTCAGTTAGAACTGAGTGGTCCCGCAGATTTTGGTGTGACAGTAGCGGATGGCAAAGTATTAAGGCAGGAAATTTTTGTCTTAAATGAAGGATCTTTGCCTGGAGAGTTTAAAATAAGATATACTGGAAATGAACCCATCACAATTATGCCATCAGGGGGTATTGTCAGACCAGGTGCAAAGCAAGGTGTTAAGGTAAACAAAAATTGCACTGTCTCATGCATGAGGCTGTTTCTTTCTTTGTTAACTTACACGTAGCAGCTCCCAGGTGCAACAAAGCACGGCAGTTACTTTCTGGAAACTGCTAGACAATCTGCTTTGCTTCTAAATAATACATCATCCATCAATGAAGTTACACTCACAGGCCCTTAAGTTATGAAAAGTGATATAATGATATTATGCCTTACCTTTTTTTAACTAAAAACTCACTCAGAGAGGGTTAAAGGAAGGGATGGCCCTCCCCTTTCTCCAGGATAAAAATAATAATATTGTGTAACATAAACAGAATAAAGAACCAGGAACACATTGATCCGTAATCTTTGTTAATGTAAATTGACTGTACATGTACTTACTGACTATTCCAAGGCTGATTTTGTTGTAATGACTATAATTATATTTTAACCCCTGCTTCTTCAGATTGAGTTTATTAGCAAGACACCAGGAAAACTCAGTGAAGTGGCACAGTAAGTTTTGAAATTTGAATAAACATTTCTTTATTTAAATTGACGTTGAAGGCATTTGATGCTTAAAAGAAGAAAATATTATTACCATTGTTCTAATCAGGTACAATGTGAACTGTGCACATTCATTTACATTTAAATAGAGCACTTCCAGCAAATATTATTTTTGTACGAGAGATTTACTGACCCTACCCCTCAGAGTTTTGTGACGTTTAGTAGCACTACCGAGTAAGCTGTGCGAGTAAGCTAGAACTGGATGAGATGAGAAAAAAGAGCAAGTTTTCCTTGTAGGGTTTTCATTATGGCATTATATCCCCGCCAAAATTTGACTTTTGCTTTTCATATTTGTTTCCCATTATATTATCTTTGTTGTCCATGATTCAGCATTGAAGTTCCACAATCCAACATTAGAGTTCCATAATGCGACATTGAATTTTCGCAACACGTTGTGTTTTTACAAGTGCCACTGATATTCACTCTTGTCCTGCCATTCAACACATTTGGGTGGCATTTTATGCAAGTTTATTCCACTTGTTTAATTTTTTCCAACACGCATGAATGATTTACACTTCAAAAGGGAGAGCACTGTACCCAGATGTATGCGGGCACAAACTAATAAATATAGTGCCATTCCAGGAAGCGACTCAAAGCTCGACTTCCAATGTCCCTGGCTCCCGGCCAGGTACATTTTCAAAATGCCAGAGGTTAAATAAACCTTGCTGACTGTTTGATAAAGCTCCCAAGACGGTCTTGGAAGAGAATTACAGTTGACTCCCGATAACTCGAACCCTTGAATTTTGGCGGGGATAATAATGCCACATTTCATCAAGTATTGTGAGATTTTTTTCTGGGAGTTCTTTCTGGGAAAATAAACAGGGAAACAGTGTTGTTGTGAATTTTATGGGGTGTTTTATTGATCAGCTCATTTTAATAATCGCTGGAAAGGTTCTGCAGATACAAAATGTAGTTGGCTATTAAATGTACAGTCCTTGGCTTTCTAACTTTCTTGAATCTTCCCTCTAGTCTTATATCTTTTTAAGAATCATGAATATTAATAGATCCTCAAGTAAATTTAGAATATTTTATTTATTTTAATTCAGTAAATTTTTGAACAGTACCTTTTTATGAAAGTCAGCTAGCAAAATGCTGGGACTGAGCTCTTGACTATGCCATCAACTTTGACCAGTGCACTGCTGCTGAACATATACTTTTTGTCCATTAGAACTAAAGAAAATGTCATTGATATTCACTATTTAAACAGCATTCTCTTGATTTTGGAGTTGATATATTACTCCAGTGGGATAAAGTTTTTTGTACAATGTACATTGTATGAAAGTTCATGATGAAATGTGACTCTCTCATCAATAAAACTTTATTCCTTGACTGTAGTTGCCATGATAATAGTCCTCTTGCGAATTTTTTTGTTGAAAACAGGATTTTTTTATAAATTGCTAATACTTTTATCCTCTGTAGAGTAAAGCTAGAAGGTCAGCCAACCACAACTCTTCAAATCATAGGAAATGTAGTGGAGAGATCCTTAGAGCTATTAACAATAGATACAGAAGAGCCTGTGCAGACAATTAACTTTGGTTCAACGTACTATGGCACAGACCTTACTCAGTCATTCCTTATTTACAACAATGGACCAGCTATAGCACACTTTGTTGTTATACTAGAGGAGGGTGGAGAAGGCCAGGAAGTGGTATGTACAATGTACAGTGTTCAGTATGCTGAAGCTTGGTTTCACTGAAGCAGTTATACATTAATACATTATATATGACTTATGTGGTGGAGCTCTTGTGTACATGTATTACAGCTTTCTCTCCCAAGAGGAACTACTCTAGCTTGCCAATAAAAGCGATGATCACTGTCAGAGTTGTCGTGTTACATGTATGTTCTTTTTAAGGCATTGATGCAAAAAATGGCAGCTGGGACTAAGTGAATTGAAGCTACTTGTTGTTCTTCACAGATTGATCATCTTTTCTGGCTAATTGACGATTGTTAACTTGTTATAAAATTGATACATGTACAGTGTACCTTGCAGTGCGTGTGAGCCACACCCACAAAAGAAGTAATATTTTGGTACCTCTAATCCCTATCCTTTTTATAAGGGTGTGCTCCAGTCTTTCCCTGCCTTGCTCTAATTTGGGCTTCCTGCAAAATGCACTGTGTTTTCATTGTACACCATATATACAGTATGCATACTTTGTACATACATGTACTCTTGGACACCTGTTGGTGCAAGAGATATATATGCACACATCAAAGCTTGTTTGCATGAAATAAACGGAACTTGGCTGGCAGGCTCCGCGGCACTGTGGTGCGTGCAGAAAAAATATTTTCAATTCAGTAGGAGTTGCAACTTGAGATCCTCGATCAAACATCTTGTTTTCTTGTGTACAGTCTGGTGGAGTCCGAAGATTTAATATTTCAACCGTTGGAGTTCACTTTGATTAAAATCCTTGTCTATGCATCATTTGAAATTCTGATTTGATTACAAGCTCTGAAATGTCAAGGAATATAAACAACTATAAAAGAGCAGCTCACAAAGTACATTTGTGTCATTCCGTGGCCTGTCAAAATTCTCGAGTGTTCGATCGCAAAGCGCAAGCTTTTTCTTACGGGTATATCCCTGCATTACCAAAAATATTGTAGCAATATTTATTTGATATGAAAGTACGACAATTTACCGGGTGAATTTTCAACGACGAATACAGTTTCCATGTGTTGTTCTCATCAAACGACTGCCGCGTTTCTACCACAGTTTTAGCTTATGTTGATTTCTTTTAATGCCTAGTCTCTTTGTTCAAGAAAAAAACACAAAGCCCGTCGCCACGGCAAGAAAAATTTTCAAAGCCCGTTCGGTTTTTTCCCGACCCGGTCATTCCCATAAATAATGAACTGTCCCCTTACTAAGCATAAAGTTTACATTATGTAAAATTTTATTGGGAAAAGAACTTTCTCACTGAGCTATAGAGGTCAGGAGGAAAAAGGAAATTGGAAATAGGTAACTAACTTCGCAATCTTGAAACATTTTTGTTATTTTTTCTCTCTTTTCTAAGGGTGTTGACTTGACCAAAAATGCAACAGCCATGATGTTGTCGCAAACAGATTCTCAGGATCTGGGCACAGCTAATGACTTGACAACACTGGTAACAGCTCTGCCAAGCCAGGGGTCCCTCTATCCTCATGAAAAAATGGAGATTCACTTTAGATTCAGCCCAAGATACACAAAATCTAACAAAGGTTGGAAGACCAGTGACCAGCCACCTCCAAGGAAAGACTACACCCTCTTCATGCACATAGAAACAGTTGGAAGTGTTGCTGGTATCTCCAACAACTCCAGTGGTGGAATCAACAATGGAGGTATAACAAGTCAACTGAAAGATAATAACCTTCATGGAGGGAGTTTTTTTTTCCTCTGGAACAATGCATTTTAATTTTTTTTTTAGAATATTGAAAATAATCAAAGCACAAGCACATATGTCATTCTAGTAATACTGATGCTGAGCTCATTCATGAATGTTTCCTTTTAAAAAATTAAATGTAATGGTTTCTTGTTATTTCATTTAAGCACTTACAGATATTATAGTGAAACCCTCTTTGGGAACCTCAGTCTGCCCAGAACTCGAAAAAGTAGAATTTGAGCTTGTCTTTTTTTATTTTCACAAGAACCTCTCACATTTTGCTGCCCAGGACCATTGTTTGCTTATTTTAGTTAATGATTTACTCTCAAGATAACTTCCCTAGCCTCTTTCTCTTCAGGTAACTGAGCTTAAAATTAGTTATTTTCCCAGCAAGGAAGTGTATTTGTCCCAGACAACTAGTTGGGACTCTTTTGAGCCCCCACAGTATCATCTTTTTTTTTTCCCTTCACTGAAGTGGCACATGGTTAATTACCTTGAGTTCTTTACTCTCATTTACCAAATTCGTTCTGTCAGCCAGTTGCATCCCAGTTGTATCTCTCTAAGGATCATTTAGACAAACAGTAGCATGGGGAAGCCAGATCAGGATCAGCAGTATAGAATAACACTTTAAATAAATGAAGCCAAGGCTGATCAGACAGCTATGGATGGGTAACTTGTTTGCCTATCCATTTTAATAGCTGTCAAATTAGTCTTGCCTTCAATTTAAAATAATATCGTATCCCTTTCTCGCACAAAAATTAATTAATTTGTTCCCTAATGTTTTAACTAGATGATTGTGTTGCTCCTTTATAGGCTCCAGAGTTGAGGTTGCTCTCCAGGGAACAGCATTACCTGTGCTCTTATCCATTTCTCCCAGTCCTGTGTTTAAGTTTGGAGACTGTCCTGTTGGTGAACAAATTGATGCCCTCTGCACTGTAAACAATGAATCAGCCAGTTTACCAGTGACATTTTCTCTCCATTCCACTGCCCACTTCCAAGCCTCGCCATCACAGGGTTACATTAGTGCTGGGCAGTCTGTTGATGTGTTGTTATCATTCAAACCTAACCAGATGGGCACATTCAAGCCATCAGTTCCACTGGAGGTTTTAGGTGGTATCGTGGAACAGTTTTCATTTGATGGAGACCCCACGGCTCTTAGGTAAGGCAACATGACTACAACAGATATTATTGTAAAAGGTCTGAACCCAGGAGTCATTTCAAAAGTAGGTTGAGTTTGATCGTCAGGGTGAATGTATTCCTGAATAGGACTGTTGTCGTTGACAGTGACTGATGTTTAGACAACCTGTGCGGTAGTCATCTTCAGAGTCAAAGTGAGTTGTATCACGTCAGTTGATGGTATTATACTCTGGTTATTGATCTGGTTGGTCAATTACGTCGCAATGTTATTGGTCGTCTGTCAGTTAAGCTGTGATGTTATTGGCTATGGAGACTTGTAATCAGTAATTGCAGGTGCCTTTTGATCCGTCTATTGTCACAGTTAAACAGTCGTCTATTGTTAGTCAAATTGTCAGTTCTCCAGTCATTCTCTTGTAGTTAGTTTTGCTTGATCTCGTCAATAAGTCGTTTGTACAGTGCTGGTAACTGTTGGCTACGGTTCAGTGGCGTTTGTTCTAAGTTAATAGTAAACCACATATTATTGGCTGTTTTCCAGTTTTTCTTTATGTTTGTTTTATTCTACCTTATTTATTTCAATTAGGTTGGTTCCAATTTATACTGCTCCAGTTCATCTTCATGGTACAGGCACCAGGGAGACCAACAAATCAAAATTACAGCCACCACCTGGCGTGCCTCAGGTCGCCCATCCTAATGATAGAGCCACAAGCATCAGACCTGCAAAGAGAGATGAAAATGTCAGGTTAGGATTCCATGAAATTTTCATGTAATTCATGAGTATGTGCAGGGGCTTTATTATGATTTTGAGGAAAAGTCACTCCTAGGAAATTTTGACTGGCAAATTTTTTTTCTAGAAAACACTTCGCAAAACAATTAAGGCACTGAGTGTGATTTGTTTTTTTGGAACATGAATTGATACATGATTATAGCATAACTGTTACTGGTTTTGACTGAAGAATTAAAGCTCCCATTATTTAATAAACGATGTAATGTTATTATTTTTTCAGAACACTGTTCACAGGAATTGAAAGATACACATTTGTAGATCCAGACTATGCTTTCACAGATAAAGAAGAAAAGGAAAGAGTGGAACATAAACAACAGTACTTGGACTACATAAAGGGTTTAAGAGAAAATAGATTGGCCAGTGAGAAACGAAAGTAGGTTCACTACTGCACCCACACATTACTTTTTGTAATTCATGAGTTGTATATATGTAATTAATCAGTGCATGATTAGTTTGAAGAGAGAGAATTCTACAGGCCCAAAGCTGGTGGTGTAGAAGCAACAGGGGCTTTCTTTCTGATATTGCCTCGGAGAAGAAATGTACAGTCAGCAACAGCGCAAAGTTTCAAATTCCCCTTCTCTCTAAGAAATGCTGCCTTTGTTGGCAGAAAAAGACGGGATTGATACTACTAGTGCAAAAAGGTGGGGTGGGGGTGCTTGTCTCCCCCAACTATGTCAGTGTATGTCTGTCATTTCCTCTCACTGAGGTCTCTAATTATCCTCGCATTAAATGATTTAGTTAATTACCCCGGTATATTCAAAAGGCAAGTCTCCACCAGTAGTTTGTAATCTTAGTAGTCTGGTGACAACTGGCTCTGTTTTAACATGTAAATCACTGAACATTAATTACAGGGGCAAGGCTGGTTGTAAATATTAAGCCATCCAGATTCAATGAACTTATGACGTATAGGATTAATAATTATTTTATTTCTTTTTGCAGTGAATTTCATCAGTATAATAATGATACCGACTTGGGCATGAAAAGCAGTGGAGGACTAAGACCTCCAAAACTTTCTTCAAAAGAAGCCAGATCTCCAGAAAAAGGTCAGCAGTTATGAAAAATCACATTTGTTTGTGTATACTAAAAATCAAGGATTCCTTAAATGAAAACATGGCCAAATCAAGTAGCTCATATCAACGCTACTAAGTATACGTAAAAACAGGTAATTGTCCCAAAATCATACTAGTTGATTGTTCCCTCGGTCGTGGGCTTATGTTATTCACAAGTTGAGACCACGTAATGTACAAACGGTTTCTCAAAAGTACTGGCCCCGGTTGTTCAAACGTTGGATAGCGCTATCCACCGGATAAATCACTATCCAGCGGATAAACATTACGTAAACCATTGCGCCATCCACTGGATAGTTATTTATCCTGTGGATAGCGTTATCCATGTTTAGAACAACAGGGGCCTGATAATTAACGGGTCTGGATGGTATTTGAGCAAGAGGTTTCAACAGTTTTGCAGATAACGTGAAAAAGTATCAGTTTGAATTACTTTTTATAAAACAAAATGGACTGGTTTGTTAGCTAAGGTCCACGTATTTATTCGCTAGTTTTTGAAATTTAATATTTGAATTCGAGTACGAAAAATTATCAGAACTCTGGAGAAACGGGCCTTAGGTATGGTTTAATGAGGGTTAGAAAGCTGCATTTATCTTTTTTTTTTCAATACTTGTTATTGAAAGCTACATGTGTAACTTTAAATTTCGACCCTGCTCGCTACAGAGCCTCCAGTGGCTTAGTGGTTAGAACATCCGAACTAACACTCGGAGGGTCGTGAGTTTGATTCTCACCTGAGGCTCGGAATTTTTTCTGACCGTTCTGGTATAAGAATTCTCCTTCTTCCAAATTAAATGAATGCAGTGTTTTTTTTTTCATTGCGTTATTTTGTTTGTATTGCCTTATTTCTTAGCCCCCTCCCCAGTAGATGATGAGGTTAAGTTGTTGAGTTCCTTAACCCTGGCTGGAAACAAGTCTCAAACTTTATCAAAACCAGTAAGTAATTTACCTCAGCAACTGAATCCATTCCACAATTAAGAACCACTAGTCTGAAATGTCAGCCGTTTCCATCCCCTAACCCGTGGGGTAACCTGTGGAGATGCATGGGAGAGAGACATCTCTCCTAGGGCTCGAAAAAACGTGAATTCCAGCTTGTTTTTTGGGTAAGCAGTTCTCTCATTTTGCTTTCCCTGGGAGACTTCGTGCTCGTCTTAGTTAATGATTTTGTTAGAGGATGACTTACCTGGACCCTTGCTCATTAGACACGTGACCTTTAAAAGTTACTCGCCCCGTACGAAAATCTCCTTGTCTGATACTACCGGGTGGGAATTTTTTTCGAGCCGTGTCTCCCCCTCCCCGTACCCCCAAGGGGTTTAAGTGGTGGAGACTGTTGACATTTCAGAATAAAGAACCACTACACTGACCTGTTCATGTTCACGCTGCTGGTGTCTTACACCTAAACTATTAAGGACTTGATCCACGTGATCAGAAGACACACAGGTAGGAGCACACAATTTTTTTCAATCTTCTTAATTCGTTTGTTACCTGTTATGATATTTCTGAACGTGCTCTTTTTATTTCGTGTTGGTCTACGTCCCGTTCTATTTGTCCGACAGCTTCGTGGGTTCTTTTTTGTCTCACAAAATCCATCTGATCAGTGAATGTTTTTTGCGGTTGGGCCCAGCGTGCAAAGAAAGTCGTGTCCGGTAGCCCAGGGCTAGTGGATTTTGCTGTCGGGCTAGTGATTTTTGTTCTTAACTTGCTGTTTTTGGGGGAAATCCAAATTACAGAAGGATTGTAATCAATCCTGCTAATCAAAAAGGGTTTTGGGGGTAGTTGAAATGAGTTGTGGGCTGGTACATGCTAGCTACAGCTTGCCCGAATTGCAGGCTGTAAAGCTGACTTTCTTTGGACCCTTGGTTGGGCCCATATTTTTTTCGTCCTCATCCGGAAGGATTAAAGTATCAAACAATTTTACTTCCGAAACGTCTGTTTTTGTTAAGTTATCTATCAAAAGTGAAAACTTTGTCGTTTGCCGCTCGTTTTCGCGAATTCGTCACTCAAAAAAGGTGACTTTTGTGAATGTCTATCAAGCCTGTCACGTTTGCGTAATGATCAGCTGGGTAAACGCAGCACGTTCTTCTCATATTGTGTATTTTTAAGAGCCTGTGTGTTGAACTGGCTGTTAATTAAACCTCAGCCTACAGCTTCGAAGTCTGGTAACTATGCAACTTCCGTGAACAATATTGTCTCTTTTCTTTTCTCAGTTAAGTGATGGCTTGAATGCTGTGCCAATGACCAATCAGGAAAAGCGTGACTGCTCCTCTGTGCTTTCACCTCAGCAACTAAAACTAGTAGATATAGGCAAGTGTAATAGTTTATTAGATCAGTAACAGCGTTGTTAACATCACTTTCCAAAGCCTATTTACCTTTTGTGTAAATTATTGTCAAAAGTCTGGTAATCAGTACGTCTAGCGTGAGACAAAGGGAAATTCTTGAGTCCGAACAGGAGTTGAACCTATGGCCTCCCGAACACCTAGCCCATGTTCTATTCAAAGAGTTACGAGGACTCTTGAAGAGCAAGGCCATAAACTAGTTCTTGTTTGTAACATACATTAATACCTGCTAAGTGATTAATGTCATTGGAGATATCTACACGTTCAACATCTTACTTTAGCACTAAGTGGCTCTTTCTTTTTACATTTTTAATGACTATTTTGCAGGACCTTCATTGATGGATTTTGGCCAAGTCTGCTTGCGCTCTGTTAGCAGTAAAGACCTTACGATCGTGAACAACTTAGACATTTTTATTCATGTTGTTGTAGAGGTGAGCATCTCATCTTTCTTTTATTCGGTCACACCTCACTACCGAGTGAAGAGTTATTAACCCAGTCGCTCCCTGGAAATTTTGCCCATAAATGTCATTTAAAGCTGGTCCAGCTGTTTTAGGGTTTTGTGGTATCTACCTCACCTGTGGCCAAAAAGAACGAAAAACTGCCCAAGACGTTGCTTACAGCTCAAGCACTACTTTTGTTCGTGATGCTAAATTACCAATTCCAAAGTTCGAGTATGTTCAGAAGGCATTTTGCTTTCTCTCCTCTCCACACTTTTTTTCTTTTCCTTTTTTCTTTTGTTGGACAATGACTAGGTTTCCATTCTGTGGGAAACGTTTAAGATCGTGAAATAATGTTGAAGGAAGTACAGGAAGGTTAAGCGTAACAAGATTTTCATTCATTTTCTGGTCAAATTTCCATGTATGTTTGCATTTTTCTCCGGCCCATTTGACTGAATCGTGGTTAGTCAGGTATGGTCTCAAAGATACTCCTCCCCCTGCCCCCTGTACCAGTTATGTCAAATTTATCAATCACCATTAAAACTGATAGAGCGATTTTCGTATGACCTTGAAAAATGGTTTCGGCAAGTGTTCGTTTTTACTTTTGTCAGCCAATGGATGAAAAGATCAAGACATGGACTCTTCAAAGAAATCCCTAATATGGAGAAGGCATTGTTCGATTGGCCAATCGTGTTACAGTGTGACGTCAAAGTGAAGTATCGGTTGATTTCTAGAAGGTCCTCGGGCATCAAGTTTTTTTCACCCGGGCGTTCGCTTAACCAACCAAAGCCACGCGCGTTTGTATCCGTTCGATAAACCAATCAAATCGTTCTAGTTCCGTTCGTTTGTTGTTTCTGTTTTGTTCGCGCGTTTTCATTTCAAGGTCATATGAAAATCGCTCCAACATCACAAGCAGTACACAAGAGACGTGGAATCACACCCTGGTTTGGGGGCAGTGGAGATGTGAATGTGTTAAGTAAAACTTACTCATGTTTCCATCTCTTTAAAGATTGACTGCCGTGAACTTCGTCAAACCTCTCCTTTGTCTCAAGTGATCCCACCAAATTCTGTAGCAAAGCTTGCCATGATGTTTGAGTCTAATGTCAGAGGCACTTTTGAAAGGTGAACAATACTATTAATTTCATGTCTTCTGTTGTTTAATTATGTACGGATTTGTTTCTATTTCTAGGCAGTAGATTAAGTTTTTTAATGTGCTTATCAAAAGTAATTTAATCTTATTTCTTGATTTCTGACATAAAAATGTCTCAATGGAGGATCTTTCCTCATAATTGTGATAAAACATTTTTGGTTGTACTCTGTCATCTCATGCAATAATGGAAACTGTTTCAGTATACAGTATTTTTTGTTAATTTTATAGGAGCATAAACTATAGCATAAATGGTTACCATCGGCAGCACATTGTGGTGATGGCTGAAGTTGTGTCCGTTGCATTGGAGTTATCAAGTGATGAGGTTGAACTCAAACCTTCTGCTGGACTTCTGGCTGATTCAGGTAACTGTTATTTGCAGCTGTGTAAAGAGAAAGTTAATAAAAATGCCTTACTTTATTCAACAGATGTGTATTAGGTGTTAGTTTAGACATCAATTAGGAATGGCGGTACTATTTTATCCTTTCTTTATCCGCCAATCCGGAAAAATGTCTAAAACGGACTTTGCAGTCCTTCGCTTTGCTGGCTCGTTCCCTGAAGGAACAGATTACAAGTGAATTTTTCTTCTGTCTTTCTACTAGGGCTCAGGGGCTCCATCACCTTATTGAACAAAAGGAACTATGCTGCTGAGTTTTCTTGGTCCCCAGTCTTGGATGAAAGAGGAACAGCATTCTCCATCCGACCATCCATCGGTAAACTTGCCACTCATAGGCCTATCTACCTATACACAAAAAAAGGCCCCGGGATATACATGCATGCCCCCCTCCTGCTGAAATGAATTCGATTGAAATGAATTCGATTTGTTATGACGTTTTGAAGGTTAATTGTAAAGACCAGTAAATGCAGAACGTATTTTGATCAGCACTCTAATGGCTTGTTTAGAAGCGCTTTTTCTCTTGCGGTTGAAAGCCCCCTCGCCGGGATATAAGCCCCTTATAAGCCCTCCTAAACCCCCTCAGGAAGATGTATAAGCTCAGAGCTTACAAGTTGTAGTTTGCCGTACTCACAGCTGATGTAGAGATGCATTCTTTCCTTGAAAAGGTTTACGAGGCTCTGTTCACGCTGTTCACCTCTACCAAGCGAACACTTCCCTTAAATTGATTTGTTATAAAATGAACAGAAAATTCCAAAACATTGTTTGCCGAAATCAGGTCCGATGGGTTAAAAAAATACTACCACTCTGGATACGTGTATCACTTATTCTACTTGCTTCCCTGCACGCAAGAGCGTTCGCAAGAAGGAGAAAAGCTTGGTTTTATCGACGCATGAGCAGAATATTAGTTACAGCTAAACACAGATGGACGACATTGCGCATGAGCAGATCATCATTTGTAGGCAGTTATTTGCAGGTCACGTGGTGGGCTCTCGGCGTATGAAAACGAAGAAAAATTTGCATGGAATATTCAAGTGTTTTAATTGTGGTTGCAGGGACTGTTGATGCTTTTACTGCCTTGGAGTGTGAGGTTGTTTATCAACCAGCATTTTCAGCCCCTCAAGAAACTGATTTCCTTATTCATGTCACTGGCGGAAGTGATCTAAAGCTAAAATGTGTGGCAAAGGTGCGTACTGTAACTCTAAAAGTATAGTCAGTTCCTTTTAAGTTTTGTAATGTTTCCAGCACGGATCAAAAAACCCTTGAGCGTCAGACATTGATGGAGTGTTATTGTATAGCAAGGACTATTATGCTAATTCTTGGTTTTCAAATGACGTCGCTAAAATACAAACTATCGATCTTAGCAGCTGAAAACTATTATTCGTGCAAGTGTTCGCTTCGAAAGAGTTCTTGGTTTTGTGATAGAGTACGCTTGAATTTATAAGCTGTTGCGTGACTTATTACGGGAAATTTTGCTATCTAAACTGTTCATGTATTAGAAAAAAGTATTGTTTTAATGTTTATGAGTTCTTCGAAAGATAAATTCAAGCTTTTGTAGCAAGTCTCGGTGACAGATGTTTCTGTTGGTTTCCGGTCGCCATGTTGGTGCCTATCGGGATGGGCACCAGCATGGTGTCTCCATACAAAGCTCTACAAATTTGCGTAAAACATTTCTCCTGATATCACGTATATGAAATATTGCTGAATGCTGTGACCTGAATCCTGGCGAGGTTCTTGCATATTTACCTCCTTCCATTTCCCAGATTCGGGACTTTTTCTATTGAACGGTTTTGATTTTTATTTTGATCTATTTTGAAAGGCTTGATACTGAAAACCAGCAATTAAGAAACAGCGGAAGGTTGTACTCGCGACTTATGGCCGCTTTTGTGATGAGTCGGTACACTATTGACCTGTCAAGGTTAAACTAAAGTATTCACGGTTTTTTTTTGGTCATTGCACCGTAATAATTTATTTCTTTTACTTTTTTTAAACCTTGTTGGATCTCACAGCTTGGCCCTGCTCATTGTGCATTTGTGGAGAGAAGACTTCTTTTTGGTTCAGTACCACTTCATTTAGCTACATCGAGGACCGTATCGCTCAGGAACACCAGCCAGAATCATGCGTACTTTGAGGTATGTACACTACTGCATACTCGTCACGAAAACAAGCCTGTTATACTCCTACCTTGAAGAGTCCACCTCATGAGGATTGAATAAAATTCTCATCATGACTAACACGTAGAATAGTTGGAAAGATTGTTTGTGGGATGATTTACCTCTAGGCTTGAACTGTAGGCTGTGTAGCAGGTGTCAAAAGGGGTATAGGGAGAAAGGGAAAAATGCAAGGGGATTACTCCCTCTCCCCCTCTCCCTTCCCCTCACAATTTTGCGCTTACCACGTAGGCTACTTGAACTCTTGTTACATATATTGTCTTGCTTTTGGTGACTGATTATTTTGTCTTGTTTCCGTTCTATTCAGGTGATTGACACTCGCCCTATTCCAGGATTAGTGATTTCTCCAAAAGAAGGTGTGGTTCCAGTAGGAGGTACAGCAGAATTGAAGGTATGGAAGTTGTTTTGCAAAATGAACTGTTATAAAACAAAGTACTTGGTACATAATACATTTATGACCATTCATTAATCATCATGTTGAAATAGGGTGAAGGTTGTCGCAAACAGTGAAAAATGTTTCCTGGGCAAGACTGCACCTGAGGGCAGCCATAGTATATAATGTACAAGCAGCAGTCCGATTAGGATACCCGCTATGTATTTAGAACTTTAATTTGGTGTCCAGAGATCAGTGAATTCCTTCTCTTTATACGACTAGCGTTTTTAGGAAAAGGTAGACTGCAAGAGGTCAGTGAAAGAATTCTCCCCTTTCGTTGAATATCTGAATTTCAGGTGGAGTTTACACCCACCAGTATCCACAAGTTTGATACTCATATTCAAGTGAATGTGCGAGGATGGAAGACAATTTCACTCAGAGTTGGTGGTACGATAGAGCCTCCGTGTGTAGACATTGATATGGTATGTAAAGCTACTCTTCTCTTAATTAACTTGTAGTTATGTTGTCTCTATGACAGCTGAGAGATTTTAGAAAGCGACTTACAGTGTATGGCTAACGTAGTCCAGTATGACATATGTGGTCTACAACTATGTCGTTTTATTCATTTCGTTTCGCAGAATTCGTTTCAGTTTGGTGGAGTACATTGTGGCGCTTTGGCAACGATAAAGTTTAAACTTAGCAACATGGTAAGGGTTTTATTATATTGACTTAGTTCTCTGCCTCTTTGACACTTTTCCCTTTTTTGATAAACTGTTTGTTGTTTATTCCCAGACTCGCACTGAAGCTGACATGGTGTTTGACTTGAGCAGATACCTGGACTTTTCGCTTAAATTTTTAGATACTGACCTTGAAGGTATTGTATTCGTTTACCAAACATTCAACACAACTAAAAACATTAGCACCTGACAGTATTCCAGAAGAATATGTATTAGACGCTAGGAAATTCCGATGGGACTAACTTACAGAGGTATACAAGAATGGCTACGAGGAAGACTAACTTACAGAAGTCTTTCTTTATAGTTTATCTTGGCCAAAAAAGTATGGCTTTTGCAGCCGTTATATTAGTGAGTTCACGCAATACGACGGCACAAAGAAAAGGATAACAGAGGTTTGTGCGTGACAAACGTGACGGGGTTATTAATTGCGCGTTTGTGTATCCTGTTGCGTAAGTTCATTATTGTCTCTAGATTCTCTGTCCGTTTATCTTTTTTGGCGCTTTCACCATCTGTACATAATGAATTGATCAATGTTAATTGCCTGACCACATAATTGACCACTCATAGAAGTATAGTTTTGGATGAACATACCAGCAGTGTTCTGTAACCCCGACTCCTCATGGCTTACCATCCCAAAATAGCTTTTACTGTCATAAGTGCTTTTTCTTCTCGACGACAATATAGTTCTTATAAAACTGCGATGTCAGACACTATTATTTTGTATGATTGTTTTGTTGCTGTAAAAATTAGATGAACCAGTTGATGATGGAAACGGTGTTTACCAGGTTTCTTTGAAGAGTCAACAAGTGATGGAGTGTGCGCTGGAATTTCAGCCTTCCGAGGTATTTGTTTTATACCCACGTTAGGATCTTTACACATGCACCATAGATCTAGTTCTGCTTTTTGCTTGTGTGGATAAAATGTTGCAGTCAGACCATTGCAAAGCAGTGGGCTTTGTGGTATTTTTTATTCCTTCTCTACAACACTGGCTTACAGTGTTTTTAAGCCAGTTTGCTCATCACAATTCATTAATCCGAGAAACAAAGAGAAGCACAGGATACTTTTTTTATCAGTATTAATTTTTATCAGTATTAAACCTGGCCAGTGGTCCTGACCAGTGGTACTTGATTGAATTATAACCCATATTACCAGTTTAAATGCTGAAACCCTTCTTACCCCCATGAATTTAGTGGCAAAGCTCTCGTGCGCGCGCGCTGCGAAGGACCATGGGTAAGGAAAATTGGTTATCTAAGAATCCAAGGAACTTTAGTTTTGAACAAAATCTCAGTAATTCCGTACGCACGCCCACCCCTTCATGAAAGCCGGGGAGAAATTTTGCATTTCAAGCACCCCTGCCTTTTGGAGGTAAATCGCATTGCCTCTCGGACTTTTAGAGAGAAAAACCCACACCAAAGCCGAGTCTTTTTTTCTCCGACTAAATTTTAATGTCTACAACGAGAACAGAGAAAGAGCTAGAACAAGAGTTAAAAAACAGAGGAGACGAAGAAAAACATGACAATTTTATATTGGCGGTGAGAAGAAAAGAAATGCTAACGGAGGAGAAAATGAGCGGCAGTAAAAAAAAAAGGCGAACAGGAACACATACGACATTTCTTCCATAAAACGTGTAATTAGGAAGTTTCACGTTGCAGTCGTGCAAAACAACAGCTAAGAAGTGTACAAAAAAGTGTGCTGTACGTTTAAAGTTGTTTTTTGGCTAATTACCACTATTGATATTTTTTTTTGCCGTTCTCGTAGTTGTCTCCATTTAATAACGCCTTTATTTATAATTTTTGTCTTTTATAATTTTTTTCTGCCTAGATTAGCGCTATAGCTATTTGCAGGGCATAAAATATTGCAAGCTTTATGGATCTTGAATAAAATACATTGTTGTTGTTGTTGTTGCATTACACTATTTTATTTTTTGTTTGCGTAATCTCTAAGCTTCGCTTTTAGTTCTGGCTAAATCTATACATTGTTTTTAGCGATAGTGATAACTGTAACTACCATTTTCTAGGTTGCCTCATATGATTTTATCATACCTGTCAGCATCAATCACACAGTAGCACCTAGTCCAGCGCCATCAACCTTTCCTCCTACTCCAGCCCCATCCCATATGAACTGGACCATCTCAGACCTCATGACTCCTGTCCCGTCTGTGGTGGGCGTGGCAACTCCAAGTCGTCGTGTAGTGGCAACAGCTCTTCGTCCTCCACTGCAGTTGTCACACACTGTTCTCGAGTTCCGTCTTCCGTCTGGTTATTTTGAGCTTGGCATTGAGTCAGGGGCTGGGCGAGCTCAGGTAAACCTAGAGAAGGTTTCCTTTTGGCTTTTGCAATACCCCTTGCAGTTTTCAAAGAACCTCCTCAGGATCTATTTGGTTTACTCGAAAATGCTAAAATAAACGTTGATGGTTATCGATAATTTTTGGGGGGTTGCATGCCTTTAAAATTTGTTTTGTATTTGGCTAGGGTGCTGTATACAATTTGTTGAAACAGAATTTTGGTACATTGCTTTACTATAAAGTGAGAACGAGAAAATGTCCCCGGCTTTGTAGTACTGAATCGTTTGTTGTCTGAAATACAATGACCTCACGTCGTGGCCGGTATCTTCATGTCCAAAGTAACCACAACCAGTCGTAAGTCTTGGCTTTCTTAACCTTGAACTATAGCTAATACAGACAAACACGCTTCCTTCCGTTCTTTCCACAGGGATGTTTATTTGTGAACAACAGTGATCAGACATTGTCATGGACACTTCACACTAAAGCTGCTGGCCCTTACCTGGATGATGGCACCTTTAGATTTCTTCACAGGACTGGCTCACCATTCACTCCATCCTCCGCAGGAAAGAAAAGTGTTATTCCTGATATAACCTTGGACAGTGGGGAGACCTTTCAGCTGGGAGTACTCTTCACCCCACGTGAGTGTGTTTTCCATATAACTTTCTCGCATTGAAAGTCTTCGTGCGCGCATGGTGTTCCTATGAAGTGACTGTGTGGAAACCCTTTTGCTTAATTCACGAGGTTCACAGTACGTTTTTTTCGGTGGCGTGGGCTTTTTTGTGATTGTAAATATTCCACCATTTTGCAAAATTCTTGGTGCACACTCTGATTACAATAATAACTAATCGGTTTTTGGAAATTTACCGGCCGTCTCTCTTCTATGAAATCGTTGACACAATTCAGGCTCAGAGTGTTTTCAAGTGTTTAAAAAAACTTACAAGTTGGTTTTCCCCGTGATTAGCTTAAATTCTTAGGCTTCTGAGAAACTGCCCCCCTGCCCCTCCCCTAAACTAACATTTTGCCCCAAGTCAGAGGTTAAGTGTTAATCGTGGCTTAGGAGAGGGTAGGTGGGCAGTTTCCTAGAAACCTAAATTGATCACAAATGTTGTATCTCTTCGCTGGACACTGAATGAAGAATTAGTTATGTACAGATTACGTTTTCAGAGGATTTGAAAGGACTACGTTTCAAAAAAATTTCTCAGCCTGGTGAAATTTTTTTTTCACTTTGATTAAAAACTGTGCGATTATTGTTATCACAGAGCACCCTGGAATGTTTGTGGCACATATACCAGTGATCTTAAATGGTAACCGTGACTGCACTTACCGTACCCTTACCCTCAAGGGAGAACTTCTGGCACCCAATCTCAAGTTTGATCCTGAGTGTCTACGGTTAACACCTGTACCACTTGGGACACCAGTCTCTGTTAACTTCAACATCATCGCTAGAGGGTACAGAAGGTACGTATCGAACATCTTCTGTTTTTCCTTTGATGTTAGCGTACTCAATCAGTTTACTGAATTAAGTCTGGTCCATAACAATAGAACAAGATCTATTCCGACTCTTAATCATTTTATTATTTAACTTATTTCATAAGTTTAGATTATGTAGTTATATCTTGTATTTTACAAATTTTAGTATTATCGATTTAATTATTATTATTAGTAGTAGTAGTGGTCTTATTATTATTATTATTATTGTTTTTGTTGTTGTTGTTAGTATTTTAGAGGGCCACAAGTACATTAGCTTTGCCTTTTTAGTTTTACCCTTTTAGATAAAGTCTTTATCTATCTTCCCTAATGAATCTTTTCATATTTAAAAGTTCTCTTAGGCCCTTTTCATGGGGATCGGTACTCAAATTTTGCACTCTACTCCTTACGCAATAAAGAAAGTATTTTCGGAAAAAATACTACTGGATTTCTCGCAATCAGAACTTGGTTATCTCCCCTGTCTTGAGTTGTTCTCTAGTCTCTCTTCTTAATCGCACCGTTATCTTGATTTACTTACTTTGTTTTATGTTATGGTAATCTATTGAAATTGAATTTTAATTGTCGCCCTTGTTGTCTAGCCCATTGTTCTCGAACCATGTAATGCAAATATGCCGTCTTTCCTTCCCACGCCTCGATCAGTTCCTTAGCTATTTACGGGTGGGAAAATTATGTAATTATGAACAGTTGAGTTTCCAAAAAAAGGGATTGTTGTTGTTGGAACTTCCAATAAAAGAACTTTGAGCTTTGCCTCTCTAACTGCATCAGGATAAGCTCAGTCAAAAGTGCGCTTGACTGCAGAGCGGGAGGTCGCGGGCTCGATTTCCGGGACCGGGCCAATACCCAGGGTCTCAAAATAACTGAGAAATGAAGGTACTTCCTTTGCCCTGCAAACGGCTAGACCTTCGCGTGGCTCGGATAAATCCGTAAAATGGCGGTCCCTTCTCCAGGAGGAGACGTAAAAATAGTGTCCTGAATTACTACTTTAGCAGCTGAAAACATCAACACTTCAATAATGTATTTATTTTTTTGGTAGTTTTCCGAAAGGGATACCCACCTAACGGGGGATACCAGGTAGCCTGATGGTAAACAGTCCTCTTTTTTTTCCCCAGGGCGTCCGTATTGGATTTTGAAATCCCCGAGGTGGAGCTTGAAGATGGTAGTTTGCAGTCTGTATTGAAAGTGTCTCTTCCAAATGGACAGTCTATTCAGCCCTGTTGCACTGATGACGATAAAGGGGAACCTTTTGTGATTCCCTGCACTGTTACATTTCAGTCCTCCAGTCCTGTTTCTTTTACCGCCTCTATAATCTTCACTGATGGAAAGGAAAAGTAAGACGAATGTTGTTACTTTGAGTGCATTCGAGGATTTGCAAAACTATTCTCGTGGACAGCGGTTTGCGGTTTTAAATGTGTGTTTGATTATTTATTTTTCATCTTCAAATTGCAAATTCTGCGTCAAATCTGCACTAACTCATTTTTCGAGAACATTGAATGTTGTGTTTGAATTTTTGTTTGTTTCACTTTTTGACCTGTATTTCGAATTTTACTCCAAGTTTCTTTTGTCCCTGTAATCAGGATCAACGCCGTCATCTGCGAGGCCCTCTGCCGCCCTGGCCCCCACCCCCACCCCCCTCTCCGCAAGAGTCTGTGCATTAATGTGCATCATCATACTGAGTTCAATATAGAATATAAAGCAGTGTTTAAACTGTTTGAATTTTTTGTTCTTTGTAGATATGAGCTGCCAGTAACTGCCACAGCCGACAACTGTCTATTCTCTTGTTATCCATTTTTGGCTGCACACCAGAGTGACTTTCACATTGTCTGCGAACAAAAAGGAATATCAATTATTGATAAACAACTTGAAACAGAAGACTTCCCTCCTGGGGAAGCAGTTTTTATGCCTTGCGTCACTCCTAATCGTGCCCCCACAGTTGCATCAACAAGCGCTACTAGTACTAGCTTTGGTATCAGCACATCTACTTATCCTGAGTCCAGCAATGAGGCTACATCTTCAACCTACCCCTCCACGCCCCATCACGGTGACTCTCAGCAAGGGGGCCCTGGTCGATTAGTATCGGGTGGCTCAGATGGTAATGGTACGTTTGTTATGGTCCCTGGAATGGAGAGTGATGAGAGAAAGTTCATACGAAAAGCAGTTACCGCAATGCAAAGGTGAGAGATTTTCAGATTTAAAACAAAGTCCTGGATTAGTGCCAAAGGCAAAAATGAAAAAACCGCCGTAGTAGCAATTGATGTGCAAAGAGGAGCAACGTTCACACACAGTTGTGTCCCATAATTCAGTGTGAAGCCTTTTGGCGTAAGAAAAAATGAATAATCGTTCGGATTGTTACAATGTAGAAAGTGAAAGTGAAGAATGATCATCGCAGTAAATTTTCCAATTTAAGCAATTGGAAAGAAGAAGCCTGAAAAAAAAAATCAGGGCTTTAACGGGATTCGAACCCGTGACCTCCGCGTTGCCGGTGCGTTGCATATACTTCACAATATAGAAAGTGTTGGGGTGTTCGGCTGCAATTTGCGTTTTGTAGTTGTTACCTATAAGGCTAAGAGAGATTCCCCTCACAAACTCCCTTGCGCGCCCCGTTGTGAATCTCATATTACTTTCAAGCACCTGCTACGCAAGTTACTTCTAACAGTAAAGTGCCGTAATTTTAAATGGCAGATGTCAGCTATTTATTTACTGCTGAATTTCCTTTTTTTTTTTTTTAATCCCAGGTATATTTCGTCGCAAGGCTGGGCTGGAGGTCCCTATCCAATATCCATCCCAAAGTCCCTACGATCAGCTCTCCAGGACACAAGCGACCCACAGGCGGGTGGTACAGGGGCTGCACGCACCTCCAACTGGGATAACAATTCCAAGAAAGAGGCTAGATCAGTATTTGATCTTGTTGGCCATCTGTGTGGGAGGCCTGTGCCAGGAATTCCTTTAGCCTCCACTCTACCATTGTGTCCTATTGACCGCGTTCGTCAGATTCACTGGATGTACTGTACACTACTTACCTTCTTAAGGTGTGTGGGTCTCACTCGTGTGTTGTCTTATCAGCGTTACCCGCGGACAAGGGACGTGGAAAAGTCAGGAGATTTTCTCTTAAAGAGGGAAAAAACGTAGTTATTGTCAAACTCAGTGACGATTCGGGAATTCTCTTTTTAATTGCCATGGGGTTTTGTAAAAACTACAAAAATAGAAAACGTTTCTTAGTTGATCTGCTTTGATCATTGCAATCTCATAAAAAATCCAAATCTCTTGATCATGAAGAGAACGAAAATGAAGCCTATAGGGAGTTCGGGAATTTTGGGGCTTTTCATCTATCCTGCTACACCTCGGTTTTACTCTCGTTTAACAAACAAGTCACAAAACGCAGAGGAACAAGTTTAAACAATTTCAAACTAATCAAATATTTCGTTCGAATTGATCGTTGTTCATCAGCGTCTTAAAATGAGGTTACACAATAGAAAGGTTGTTACGTTTTCCCAGGAGGCGATTGGAAAAAAATGACCGGGAGGTCAGCTTTTTCCCTATTCCTTCGTCCTATTCCTCCCTTCTCTTCGTTAACATGTATACTTCAAAGGTCTCAACTTTTTGACGTCCAAAGAATTAACATGGGTGCAATGTTTGCTCGAAAACTTGATGGTAATGCGCAGTATATTCAACTCGTTTTTGAGCTGAAGCCTATACCGCGAAGCCCGTTTCCTCGAAAGATGGTTAAGTTTAACCGAGGTTTAAGCCAAATTTTAACAAAGGTTTTCGTGTCTAAGAACATGTCACTCGAGCTTACAAAATACTGTTTTGTCTTTTCTCCGAGACTCAATGATGATAACACAAAATGTTACTCTAAGCAATGCATAGGAAGGTAAATACAAAAATGGTACAAAATTTTCAGGAACGGAGACCTCAGGTGTAAATACACTGTTGATTGGAAAGTGATGAATGTTTTTTATCAATGCAGATAGTTATTTCTGTTAAATGCTATTTCTAATGCGTAAGGTCTCGGTTTTAAAACGAACAGGAGTCAAGGAGCTATGCTGTCACATGTCAAACCAGAGGACTTGCTGGACGCTTCCGATTATCGGCGCTGGAAGAAACTTCAGAGAAACCTCCAAGGCTCGGACGGAGAGGACCTTCATCTTGACAGCAGCTCAAGTGAATTGGAAGAAGTTGAGTTTGAGGCAAGGTCTGCCCAGGCTTGGACCCACATCCTATCTCAGCTAGTAAAGGTAATGCCAAAAAATTATGATTAAACCTTTGCCACACTGCAGTGAACGAAGGCACCAACTCCATGCTCGCGGTAACAAAATACAGTGATTTGCTCTCTCCTCCGCAGAGGACTCTTTATGTCGTAGGGAGGTAGGGAGGTGGAAAGAGAAGAAGAGAGGTCTCTGTCCTTTTCCTCTTCGTTCCACTCCCGCTTAGTGTTTTTTTAAATTTTTGTTGGAAAGGCAACTGGAACCTCTGCGGAAAGTCTATGCACGCGAGTTTTCTATAATTTTTGAACATATTTGAACCTATTTCATTTGCGAGCATACTTTCCAAAATGTCTGCTTCTGTCAAGTTTTCTGGAGGTTTTCGATGGCATAGGAGGGGAGGGGGGGGGGGCAGATATTTTTATCATTGACCAGATTTTTAACAATCATAAAAATCAGATTAGTATTGAGAGTGCAAACGTTCACAAGATTGTCCGCTCATGTGCACACAGACCCTGATGGTTTCGCTATGTTTTGAGCTGTGTAGACATCCTCAGAGCTTTCAAATGTCATTCAAGTTGGGGTTGTTTAATTTTTTGGATGTCAAAAGGTTGTCGTCTTCCTTGAACTTAATGGAATTAATCTGGTGTATACCTGCTGTATTGGAGGAGATGGTGGCAACCATTTCTGTTTTATATTTCAACAATCAGCGTTTATAGCAGAGTTTTATTTCATGGGTTTTTATTAGCCCTTACAGTATAAAGTGGGAACCATGGATTGAATGAGGCCGTAATGAGGCCGTAAACAGCACAACGGTGGACGAAGTGGCGATTGAAAATGTGCTAACTACGTCATATTCCTATATTTTATGATAGGTCTTGATACTGAGTCGTATCACCCCACATCAGTTCAAAAAGCTCCCGATACCCAACAAGAACTCTCCTTTGCCGGACATTAACCCTGATCCGCTGACCAGCAATGTTTACAGCGTGGGTGAGAGGATCATGTTAGCGTGGATTAATCATCATTACAACGTTCAGAGAAAGATTAACTGGCCTGGAGCTATCGGTGGTAAGTAACATAACTTACTGCAGATGTGGGAGCTATGTCTTGAGGCTTTTGCTGTTAAGGTCGATTTAGTGCTGAAGAAATTACTTAGTTCCTTTACGCACACACATGCATACTGAATGCAGATTTAGGAATATAGTTAGCTCTTACATTGTCTTGTTTTTATGAAAAACCATCGCTAAATGCAAAACAAGTTTCAATTCATTTTATTATAGAAGCCTCTCGCTTACTTGTTTTTCAGGTTCCAGTCCCCCTTGTCGTTGGATCGTTAACTTTGATTTTGATTTCATGGATGGACTGGTACTAGCTGCCCTTGTAAGCGCGCATGTCCCGTTTGTGGTAAGATTCTTTTTGCACTTCTTACTCTTGAGTACTGGGTATAGCAATGCGAACTATTTACAAAAATTGTTTTTCATTCAAATGTGACGAATGAAACGAAAAAATCTTTTGTTTCAAGAACCCTTCCGCTCAGTCTTGTTGGCCTTAATATCACTACAGCCCGTAGGTAACGTCAGCCTAAGTGTCGCCATAATATCGCGATATCACAGTGGCCAGATCTTGTTAATAGCTGTTCTGACGGTGTTGTCAGATTTTCAATTCGTTTGTATACATAACGTTTCCCTTAAAACGGGGGCAATGATAAGACCCAACAATTTTGACTAGTACGCTATGCCATAGTAAGTCGTTTCAGTCGCTTTCTTCAGAATAATGGCCTTTTCTGAAGATACACTTGGAGACCAATGCAAAATAGGGTGAAAAAATGTAAGCAATGTATACAAGGAATAAATATGAGTAAAAGATCAACTGCTCAATTTGGCTTGCATACCAAAGTTTTGCTATGTCTAAATGTATATAAATTCCTCTCAGAAGCACATAACCTTAAATGTCCATACAAAGACACTTGAATTTACTAAATGCTTAACAACAGGTTTAACAAACGCACTTATTGGAGTTTCAATGTATTAAGTACGAAAGTACCAATTGGGGTCGATATTGTTACTTCCCCATCTGGAGACGGGACAGCCATTTACGTGGTCATCTGAGCAACACGAAGGTCTAGCCATATGTAAGGCAAAGGCAGTACCTTCATTTCTGAGTTATTTTAAGAGCCTGAGTCTTAATCCGGCCGAGGGAATCTAACGGGCGATTCCCCGCGCTGCAATCGAGCGCTCGAGCTAATCCTGTCTCAGTTGAAAAGAATAGCGAGTAAAAACCATATTTATGTAGTGCTTGGCAGCGGAAGAAGATCAGTTTTCATCTTTAAATTCATTCTGTTTTCATCTTTGAATTTGTCTGCCTAGGGGAATCTAAGCCTGTAATTAACAAATCGGAGATTGTTATGGTCGGTGCCGTGGTTTTCTTTTTTCAGATTTCGACTCATCTTCATTCAATGTATACTCGTCCCAGCAAAGCAGAGCAGTGTCTTCATAACGTACTGAAGGTTGTTGAGGCTCTCAGACACATTGGCGTTGATTACGACATACAGGTTAGCATTACCGAAAAACTCTGCTGATTATTCTTGCTTATTCTAGCCCCATTATTTCTACTCGAAAACAAAGAACAAGCAAAGAAAAAACATAGCAAATATGCGTATCAGCGGCTTGCCAGTTTGTTTTGTCTATAATGCCAATTACGCAACCTTATTTGGTATAAACTGTTTGTCCATATTCCTCCTTTTGAATTTTCTGTGTTATTTACACCTTTTTTAATGTTTGGAGGGATCAATTTAGCTAGGTTTCTGGGAAACTGCCCACCTACCCCTCCCCTAAGTCAACATTAACACTTACTTCTCTCTTAGGGCAAAATGTTGGATTAGGGAAGGGGTAGGTGGGCAGTTTCCCAGAAGCCTTAATTGATCTCCCTTCCCTGCTTCCTTTACAGAATTCTTTTGTTCAGGATTACGTTGTTCTTCTCCTTAAGGATATTTTCATTATTGATGATGATTATATTTTATTATTTTTGTACCAGCCAACAGACCTGACGGAACCAAACCCGATCACACTCCTGTTGTTATGCATTCATCTTTACCAGCGGCTCCCTCACTATCTGCCACGCGCAACTGTCAAATTTGAAGGCCCTCTCCATGGCACAGTGACGAAACATGTAGGGTTTGATTTTTGTTTATTTCGGCGTATTCAGTTGTCGTCACATTTGATCGGTTTTTTTATCATCATCAGTCCATAATCCCTAGCTTTTTTGTATTTTTAGCCTTGTCTTGTTTATTCTAAAGAAGATGTAATCCATTCCACGCTATTTTTTTCTGAATGGTGGAGTCCCTAAGAAATCAAATTGACGCAAATGGGATGCCGCACTCTTTTTATTTTTCGACCTTTAGCACTATAGACCATACAAAAGCAGAGGATATTTCGCGTACTATTTTTGAAAGAAACGCAGGCAAAAAGGTTATAACAAGGTTAAAATTTTAAAGGTTTGTTTGTAATGGAAGTGCAGGCACTCCATTCAAACAATTAGAAACAAGCGAATAGATCATAACAGGATTAAAAACCTTACCTGCCAGAAGGCAACCAGTTGGCTATTTACAAGCATGGCCGAGGATTTGAATTCGAGACAACCGAGAACAAATCCATCAAATGACCAGAGCGGGACTCGAACCCTGGACCGCTGCCTCCGAAATAAAGTACGTATATTACCTATTGGTAAAATAACACATGCACTCTCGAGCCCTGTTTGCTTTCTTTCCAAAGGTTCGTCTTCAAAACCCTAGTACTAAACCGCTTGTGTACCAGGTGCTTTTGGCGGGAGAAGACGCGGTGGACTTCCACCTTCCTATGGGCGAAACCATACAGGTGAGTTACTGAATAAAATAGGACGCGATAAAAGAACGGCGTAGGTCTCCTTTTGGTGCAGATTTTTCAACCCATCACCCGGGTCTTGACATCTTTCGTGAGTTACTGAGTAAAAGAGGACGCGATGAAAGAATGGCGTAGGTCTCCCAGATTTTTCAACCCATGGCCGGGTCTGACATCTTTCGTCAACTTTAAATGTCAATTCGATTTTATAGCCATTACTTTTTGATTTAAATAAAGATACTTGTCATCTTATTTTAAGCAGATGTAAATTAATCCTGAAAAAAAAAACAGGACTTCAAGGGATTGGAACCCATAGCCTTTGCGTAAGCGTACGGTGCTCTACCAATTGAGCTATGAATACCCATACATTGGGAGCAGGCCAGTTTGTTGAGTTCAACTTAACCTGTGTAAGGAAAGTAAAATAGAATGAAGATGATTTGAACTGTGGGAATACAAATCTAACTAAAGGCGTGACCATTGTAGTTATTGACACTTATGTTAACACTCAGCTGCAAAGGAAGGGATTGAATGACTCTGGCGCGGAAAATTGCCGATAAACTGCATCAACATTTGAGTAGAGTCGAGGCCTCGCTTTCCAAATCGCCGGAGTATAACAGACGGACCTTTTATTCATTAAGGTTCAGTAATTTGTGTGCTAACTTCGTGTTTTAGGTGCCGTCTAAAGGTAACCTTCAGATGCCAGTGGAGTTCAAAAGTCGTTTTCTCAGACCATGCAATGGAACATTGGTTCTTGTCGGAAAACGTGAAGGAACCCCTTGCGGAAACACTCTTGTTTTTAGTTTAGAAACTTGCATTACCAACATTGTACCAGTGGTAAGTAACCTTAAAAACTTGCATTACCAACATTGTAGCGGTGGTAAGTAGCCTTAGTAATGAAATCCTAACCAATTGTGTGATCTGCTGCCCACAAGTCGACTTAATGGACACCTTTAAGGGATACCTCTATAAACACCTAGAGTTGGTCCTTGTTGTTCTGCATCTTTAGATTGAAGATAATCAATAGTTGCAGGGGACAAGCGAAGCCCGCAGACTATTCTTGGTCAGCGGCACTTTATAAACTGTACGGCGAGATTTTTTCAAAATCTTTTCACGTTCTTGGAATGCCCGTGTTTAAATTTTCGCCTGCACTTCCTAAAGTTTGTTTACTGCCAGTTTAAAAGGTTTCATCTTTTTAGGGGATCATATATATGTCTCGTAAGTATCAAAAAAACGGATGAGACATGCGTATAAACATTGGTTAGAAAAATTTACTAATTTAGGTGTTTTTTTAGGCAACCATCAAAAGTGAATCACCGTGCTATGAACTTCAGAAAGTGAGTTTTGATGTTAGCAATCCGTTTCCGCTGACTGGCGAGTTCCGCATCGTGTTGGTGGAAGCTCGAAATGCGTTTCCAGGCCCCTCGCCGCCAAAGGCGAAAACGTCAAGGTCAAACAAGAATCTCAAGGCGGTGGAATCAAGAACAGATCACGGGTAACTAATGATACTGCTAGCAGAATAGTAATAATACTAATACTACTTGATTATCCTCTCCTCTCATGGGCCTTTTCAGGGATAATGATCCAATAATTCAAATAATATGGTTAAGAATCCCAACTGGTAGGAGGTGAACTAGTTGTCTATTTTACAAGCGTGGCTGAGGATTTGAACTCGGCACTACCGTGAACAAATCCAGCAAGTCACCAGAGCGGGACTCGGACTCGGGGCCTCCGGTATACAAGTCCGGCGCTCTAACCGCTCGGTCAAGGTGCCTCTACAGAATAACTGACTTCTCTGTAGGTTGCACTGTTTTCAAAAATTAACTGTAGACTGTAAGCCAATGAGAAGACAGATAGTGAGTACAATGTATGATTGTTGTTCTAAGTTGTTGGTGGTGCCAGTATCATGGTAGTATTACGATTCCTTGGATGGGATATCAGTGCACTGAAGGGTCACCCCAGTATTATGTCGCCGGTAGCAATTTATATAAAAACACACACACACACACACGATAGAAACAGTGAGAAAAATACAACACTGAACTGAATGTACCTACCAAATTCACCTTGCCTGCAAAGCCTTACTCGACAAGACTTTTCATGAATCAAGGAAGATCTTTGTTGAGCTTGCCCTGTTTGTTACTAGGATTTAGTCTCGAGCTAGGGCCTTAAAGCCGTGACCTTGATTCAGCAGGCTCAGTTATGAACGTCCGTTTATCAATACATTAATCGGCTCGCACTCGAAAAACCAGTTTCACAAGAGAAAAAAAGATTGACTAGTCGAGAGGTTCGCGCTGCAGTGCGGCGACTGCAACGACTCGACGCGCTTCAGGCAGAGCGTTCTTTTTTCCTTCTTGAGTATCAAGAAGAGTGCAAAGGATGGCAAGCCCCAACCCCCTTTCCGCCTTGTGCACTGACACTCCAATACCTCCAAACTACACTTTCCTTGAGTTTTCACTCCTCTCTTAAATCTTGTTTGTCGGTAGGCAATTGAAGAGATCTCCCAGGCGAGAGTTTCCCCCAAAGGTAGAAAAACAAAGGACAGAGTCAGATGAAGGTCGGTTGACAACGAATTTCGGTCATATTTTGTGGTGTTGAGTTTTGAAATAATCTGATAATGAGTCTTGACTATTTTTACCTGCACTTTAAAGTGCGCGGCTTTATTAAGGAGCGAATACTTCGCCCAAAAAGTAAATTTGCGCTATTTCAAGTTCCAACTGTTTTAATTTGTCAAATGTTGACGTTAGTTTTCTTTTCAGGAAATGAATTCTAAAGGAACGTATATAAGTTCACGAAAAGAAAAAGTAAATCGTTTTGTTGTGCTCACCTCCTCCATAAAACGTAAAATTAGGAAGTTATACGTCGCAGTCGTGCAACTACGGCAAAGAAATCTTTGCTATACGCCGCCGTCGTCGTTGCCTAAGCTCCCTATTGTCTCCTCTCAATACCTGTGTTTAACGCATTGGCCTAAGACTGACGTTCCTTTATCAGAGACCGGTGTTTCTTTGAGTTTTCTCTCATTATTTTGCAGTTTGATTTGGTTTCTTGGAGTCATTTTGACTCTACTAATGTCATTTCCCGTTATTTTTTGCGGACACCCTCAATCGACTGTCCCTAATATAATAGCGAGTGTCTGTAACTAGATGATAAAAAACGTACAAAACAAATCCTGCTGCTGCCAAAATGCCACTCCTTGTCAGTGAAAACGAGATTTAGGACAATACAATTGTGCTTTTGGGCCGTACGTCCATAATAATGGGAGTTAGTTTCTGTCGAACGTCAGTAACTTCTGGCGGGAATTGCAGCCGCTGTCGGTATTAGCGGGGTGTCCTTCTCTCAAAAGAAAGGTGTCCACCATACAAGAGTTGATTGTATCAGTAATTAAAAGTTGTTTTATCATTCAGCTCCTCCAGCTCCTCTGCTGAGCGCCTTCTGGTCTCCTTCCAAGACTATTCATCTTGAAGCCAACAGCACTGGAACAGTAGAAATCCACTTCCTGCCTTTTGACATCGGCCACAGACAATGTTCAATTCTTTTCATTAACGATCTAATTGGCGAGTTTCTTTACTGCATCGAGGCAAACGCCACTCTCCCTCTCCCCTCCCCCATGCCAGTAGCAGATTCCCCCCACAGTGTACGAATCAGCAGTGCAGCGGCTGCCCGGACTGGCCGGGGGTTGTTTGGTGGGGATGAGAGAGTGGTGTACTGGAAGTGTGAGCATGACGAGTCCTTCACAGAAGACCTGTATATTCCAGTGGTTAATGAAGCAAGAGAAAATGCTCTGGGTAAGGTGGTTATAACTTAAAATATGTATTTTCTTCGATAAACCAAAATTTCAAAATGTAACTCTTTGTGTTCGTTGGTATCATAGTATAATATCGTTTGATAAAACGTCCTGTGATGTTCTGGCCGATTAAGACCATCCAGGCTGAAATTTGGCTAGTTGAGCACCGTATATGTGAGAGCCACCCTCAGTTCTACGAGGCTGAAGAATCATTTAAGCCGGGCTTTCGCCGAAAATCAGGGGTTACATCGCGGTTTTTCGTGGCGAGAAGTGAAAACAGGATCTTAAACTCAATCCAGTTTTACTAAGAAAAACTTGATTATATTAAAACGTGAGGAGACGAAAAACGACATCCTGAGGAGGCCTTATTCGGGTTGGTAGGAAATGTTGTTTGAATTTGGATGCCAGTTGAAGAACAATATTAAGCAAATGACCGAATTAAGTGTGAAGTTTAAGTTAATCTCATCTCTCTCTCTCATTCATTTCAAGCTATCGCCGCTCAACAGCGCATGTCAGAACGCGAACTTCAGCGACGGAAGCTGACAGGAACACTGGCCAGTTGCACTGTCACAGCAAGTGTAGCCGCGCTTGGCCTGGGAGGAGACAGATTCGTACACGCCGCTGACAGCAGCACGAGAGAGTCCCTCGAGAAGGAGGTCACTGAATTCTATACAGAGCTTAGCTCCAAGTTCTTCCAGGCTCCTACTCAGATCATTATTCCAACCAGCGCTAACAGAAAGAACGGTTAGATTTGTGGTTGAAACTCTTAATTAATTATTCGTTGAATAAAATAAATTATTAAATCCAGCCCAAAGAACCCGAGGTAGGTTATCTCGAGATACCTCGAGGTATTTCCAGTCTTCTACGTTAAATAGCCGAAAGCATGGAAAAATTCACGGACTTACATACTCGGTGACAGGACTGGCTCCTTAAAAGAAGCTAGTAACCTCAAATTAGAGGTTGGTACTTTCGCCAACATGCCTAAATATCTTGCAAAACAATATGCTTTCAGAAAGTTGATTTGATTTTCTTTTTGTTATTGTTTCAGCTGAGCTGACCTCCACAGCTCTCAAGTCGTTGAAGAACTCAATCCCACTATCCGTCACTTTCCAGCCCAAAGGACCTGGGCACTACCCGTGTCAAATTATTCTTAAGTCTGCGCATGATCTGAGAGTGTACCAGGTGGAATGTACAGTAACTCCCGAGGGCTCAGCTCTTGAACTGGAATTTGTGTCACCCACGCATCAGTCAGTTACTCAAGACATACCTGTGGTAAATATCATTTCTTATTCATTCATCGTATTTAAAAAGGAAAAGTTGACTCGTTTAACTGTCTCTTCATTCAGTGCAAAAGTTTTATAATTGTACCGTCAAGCCAGTTACCCACTAAGGCAGCGTGCAAAGAAAGTCGTGTCCGATAGCCCGGGGCTGGTGGATTTTGCTATCGGGCTAGTGAATTCCGTTTTTAACTTGCCCGACGGGCAAGTAATGTTTTTTGAGGAATTCGAATAACAGAAGAACTATGAAATCAATTCTGCTAGTCAAAAAATTTTGGGGGCTAGTTGAAATGACATCTGGGCTAGTAAATGCAAGCCTCAGCTTGCCCGAATGGCAAGCTGTAAAAATGATTTTCTTTGCACCCTGCCACTAAGACATAGACCTAAAATAACAAAACTATCATATTCTCTCTGAGAGTTTTTCCTGTTCACCCGCCACCTATTGAACGGATATTTAGGCTGATTTAGCAACAGAACGGGAACGTCATTTGACGACGGGAAAGTGCGCGGTAAGGACTAAACTCGACTTCCGGTGCCCAATTTACCGCTGTGCCGTTGGTCAAGCCAGTTGTTTGATTTGCGCTCGCCGTCGTCAACTGACGTTCCCGTTCTGTTGCTAAATCAGTCTTTTATCGCTCTTCTGACCCACGTGCACCGAACGCCACCTCTTATGGATCAATATCGATATAATAAAAGTCATACTGGGCTCTGAGGCCTAAATTTGCTACAAGTCATCATGTGTAAGGAATGATAACTTGCTGGGCCATCGTCCAGAATGACGTGACATATCCTGGAACTTTATGCGCAATCCTAGCGCCAGACTTCAAAAGATAACCAGCGAGCCGAAATCAAAAGAAATAAAGAGAAAACAGACAAAAACTGGCTCTGACTCTCGCTAAGCGGCAAAGTTGGTGAGGTGAAACATGTTTGTTGCAGAGAAGCGTAAGATTATATTGTACTCATTTCTTTTAGGTTAACCAAAGTAATCAAGATTGGCATTTGGCGGCTACCATAGAGGGGGAGGGTTTTTACGGACCTCCTGTTATGGTAGCCAAATCACACCTCTCCACCCACTACCCCCTGATGTTTAGACCTTCCTACGAGGGAAACGTAGAGGTGAGTGCTTGCTTGTTGAGTAAGAACGGATCTTTGAGGGTGGAGAGGGTGACGTCTTTGGACTACTTCCTGTCGCCTCTCAGTATCCCCCACCCCTTGATGTTACCGAACTTAAACAACGAGAACATTGACGTTCATGATGTTAAAAAAGAAAACAAGAAGAAGTTAATCGTTTCCCTCTTACAGTGGTGTGACTGGATAAAGTCATACTACAGGAGTTAAGTAAAGCTGTTGTTGTTGTTGTTGTTTTTTCAATCTGTTTTGTCAGACAGAGGCGTTCATTCAAGAGCAAAACAAACCTCCGGTTGCTATTTATGAAGTCCTGGATGTCAGCGTTTTCGGGATAAAGCTCCCTATTAATATTTAAAAACCTCAATTTGACGATGTGTAGAAGATTTAACGACTATTATTCAATCAAGTTTGCTAAGTTTTCCATAAGAATAATACGGGCTCCATACACACTCCATATATCACTTTTGATATTTACTTCAGGGTCCGCAATTGGGCTTTGCTAAGTTTGAAAGTTTTGATATCTATGCGTTTGTCTCATCATTCAGGGAAGGCTGGTTCTGACGAACACAGTAGATGGTACGGAACAGGTCTATAAACTGTTAGGAACAGGACAGAAACCACTTCCACGTGATCATATCTTGATAGAGTGTCCCGCAAGAGAAAGGTGACGATAACAAGCCTTACAAACCTCTAACAGTCTTTGGAGAGGCATACTGAAACTGTTTATTTTTTAAAAAAAAGACTTGTGCCTAGATTGATTCTTTGTCTTAAGTGTTGCGTCGTTTCAGTTTATGCTTGTTTGTCTTTGCTAAGATCTATCAGTCTGCAGTTTTATAGCCTGTCAGCAAGCTCTCCATTTATGGCAGGCGATGCGAACCTTGAGAGAACTTCGGCGCGAAATGCTTGCAGCTAGCAGTTTTAACTTGCCTTTACCATATAATAAGCTCAACCCTAGTTTTAGCGGTGATTAGTTCGATTATTATACGTAAATTTAGCACTCGGGTCTCCAATATTTTGTCCTGTTGTTTAACTTGTTGTTTTGTCTATGGACGAACGAGAGCATTACAAACACGGAATAAGTCCAAAATACCAAGTGAAATAATTTGTTCTGTTAACAGTGCCACCTACACCCTGCAAGTACCGAACGTGACAAGAAACAAACTCGTTTTTCAGGTTTGTATAGAAACTTCTTACCCCAATATTGAAGGTCTCGAAGCACTACGGAATGAATCAGGAGACACAGAAGCCAGGCTTAAAGCTCCTATCTGCAGAGGCGTTGTCAGCTAAAAAGTGTCACATAATCCAGAATTATAAGAAGTCGACTTGTGTTGTTTCACGTTCGCTTTCATTTGAGTTTGAGACATATAAGTAGTTTTTATCATGTCATAAGACCAAACTAGTACTAGTCCTTTCGGGGGACGGGGTGGGGATGATAATTTTGGAAAATAGTAACAGGAGTATGCGAAGTTGTTATACCTCAGGAAAGCCAAAACCGGACTCCAAACGTCTATCGGTTCAGGAAAAGGACACGGGGAAAGTCCTTCCACAAATAAATTGGTTTTAAAAGCTGGGCGGATCGAGACATTTGAAATTTTTTTTCTTTAAAAATGATAACCCTAGGGTGGCCTTTCTGTTTTTCCAACTGAAAAATGTCTGCACCGATGTCTTCTTTTTTTCGAAGTATTAATTTTAGACCTAAAAACATGATGAGTCGACACCAAGTAAGGGATTGCCCATCCCTGTCTCTATTACACCTGAGTAACCGCTGTGAGCTGACCAGTTAAAGCATATTTACACACACCAAATGTACCATCCAGAAATCGAAAACAGGTCAATGTAACTACAGCAGTAGCAACAAGCACCGGGCTTTAAGTGTAGTTCCAGTAAGGGCGCGAAATTCTGTTTGTTTTTTGTTTGAATTCTTTGGGTGGCAAATTGCCAAACCTGTGTCAAGGTTCTTGTGGTTTCTTGTTAGGTGAAGACCGACTTGGACATTGTCAGTGGCCCAGCTTCAGTAACAATTCTTCCTGGCAAAACTGCTGAGCACGTGATAACGGTCTCACCCTGGAAACGAGGCGCTTTTACTGGAATTGTTTCATTTGAATCATCTGGGGACTCGCCTGGAGCAGAGAGGTGAATACATTCAAACTGAAAAAGTAGCTAAGGAATCATGAACATTAAAAGACTTGGTGAATTCTGTTTCTGTGGTTTGTTGTGTAAAGTGGTATAATAATAGATCTATTTGTTTTAAGGGTACAAGTTGATGAGGAAGATGAAGACGGTCAAAATGTTCCCTTTAAAGCTCAGGAGCTCGCATCTGATCCACGCCAGAGACCCTATCGCTTATGGTACACTATTGAAGTTCAAGCCTCAGCACCTCCGCCTGAAAGAACCTTAGAAGTCACGTGTGCTGCACACTCCGTAGTGGCAGTAGACATGGCGGTGACGAATCCCACCCGCGAAAGGATTGTTATGGATGTACTTATTGAAGGGGTGGCTTTATCTGGTGAGCCCACGGTCATTTTGCATCCAAGGCAACAAGTTACATATCACGTGACATTTTCGCCAACCATCATTGGTGAACACACTGGAAGGTAGGCGGATATAAGTCTTATCTCTAAAACTTTGCTCACAGAAAAGTGGAAGATTTTAGAACTCTTAACGTACTTTGCAGATAATACTTTTCACTCTTTTACGTTCCACTTGCAGTGTGGTTTTCCAGAATGAAGCTGTGGGGGAATTCTGGTATGACCTGATACTGAAAGCAACCACGTCTCTTCCGGTTACCCTACCCTCTATTCACTGCGAAATTGGCAAGTAAGTGTTAATCAAGGATGCGTTCGATTGATCGTATTTTGGGATCTCTTGTGCTGTAATTTTTGGACCATCGTTTCAAGCAGATATTTAGAGATTGCAACGCAATGAATGCCAAAACAAGTGAATTTTAGAGTATATTCCATTTATTCCCGGGCCTATTTCAAAATACGCCGGTCAATCGAACAAACAAACATTAAGTAGCTATGAGAATTTTTATCATTTGAAAAATATAATGTGGTGTGTGAGGCTGTAAGTCCAAGCCTAATCACATCGTTCAATGATTGAAAAGTCAATTTAGTCTTTTGAAACTATCATAATCTCAACCGACTGAGTTCCGTTTTTTTTTCTCAGCTCCACCTATCAGATGATTCGCCTACGGAATCCAACAGATGAGTCACTGGTGCTTACTCCTCACTGCTCCAATACTAATAACTTCAGCCTTGAGCTTGACAATTCCAAACAGATTCTCCTGGCCGCTGGAAGTGTGTTAGAAGTACCGCTCAAGTTTACTCCTTCAGCCATTGGAAATCTGCAATCCGCGGAAGTTTCCTTTCACTGCCCTCAGGTAAAATGTAGATCGGCTTGATATTACCTTGACGTCTTTAACTGAAAATACCTTTTTTGTAACATATCTCAAACGAGTGACTTATCAAGAAAAACAACGTGAAAGCGTGCTAGCCTGCGAGTAGTGTCTTAACCGAGTAGGTAGCGTGCGGAAAATCCCATTCGCAAAAAACACAACGCGTTGTCCTCGCTCTGTTTTTTCTTTCAAATACTCGTAATTTCCAGGGTCGTTTTCGGTTTTTAAAATGGCAGAGACAAGAAGACAAGAAAACGAAAGATCTTGGAAAGGAGGTTGTACACTGACACTAGGTTGTATTCGCAACCTGATCATATCCCCAACATAGATGAAACAGACAAAATCACCTGACTGAAACTGAGGGTATTTTCTCAATCACACTCGTGTACTTTAAGTAGCCTTTCATTTTGTTCTGTTGGAGGTTTACTCTGCACCGGGTCGAAAGTTTTGCATGGAAGTATGCAAATTCGCACGCAAAGTAACATCAGCTCTTTTTTCGCCATTGTAGCTTGGAAACTGGGTATTTTACGCGCATGGTACCGGGATGATGCCTGGTCCTATGGATCCTATCAATATCTACTCTGAGCTTGGTGGAAATTCTTCAGTTATAATTCCGTTTAGAAACCCAACCGAAAGACAAGTGGTTGTTGATGTCATTATGAAGGAACGGCTCTTGTCGAGGAGTGGTGAGATTTCTGATTGTTACTTTTGTGATATATAATATTGTAGTATTTACCAAATCAGTGAATAGCAATTTTTGGTATTTTGATTGGCTCCCGTAACTCCGAATATCCTTGGCTATTCACTGTTTTGCGACCCGAGGCAAGATGGCGTGTCGTTTCAAGACATTTTCGGAAGACGAAATTTGAGCTATAAATGAAGCAGTCGTACAAACAAATACCAAGAAAGCGACGAACTTTGGCTTCTCGGTGTTTACTGGTAGGTATAAAAATTATTTTCATGCTGAATTTACAATAAAATCATAAAAATGCATTTGGCAAAGTCCCCGAAATCTTTGCAAGTTGTAAACAAAGTTCCTACTAAGTGACGTTTTTAATGTACAAGAAGTTACTTTTTTGTTTGTTATCCAATTGATTTGGTAAATACTAAAACAACTTTCCCCCTTAGGGTCGGTGAACAGCGCTAGATATAAACCTCGACGCTTCCCGTCCCGGTATATATCCTGTTCACCTCCCCTTCGGGGGATAGTGTATAATAATAACTACAGTCGAACCCCGCTATTTCGAAGTCCCAAGGGAAATGGAAAAAAGGTCGAAATAGCGGGGTTTCGAAATAACCGGGGAAGCGTAAAGGGGAAGGGTAAATCCAAGGGAATTCGATCTTCCTTCGAAATAGCGGGGACTTCGAATTAACCGAGTTCGAAATAGCGGGGTTCGACTGTATATAATATATAATAAATATGCTTATGTATGTAATATTAAGCAGAAACAACATATTTTTTGCATACGGAAGTTATGTAGCACTTTTGATACGTGCACGTGTATATGCTTTTATTTTATCTTTTACCTTTTATTACCCTTCTTTCATTTACTTTCAGGCGGCTTGTTTAATATGCGTCTTGACTCGCAGCCTAAAGCCTCGGTCTTCTGCCTTCTTCTCAAACGCGCTAAAAGCATCCCGCTGGAGCCTGGTGCGACTCTGGATATCCCAATCTCCTTTGCGCCAGACACCATGCAGATGTACGAGGCTACAGTAACAGTGACCATTCACAAAGAAGAGCCTGAGGACTCTTGGAAAGGCGATTATCCGAGCATGATGAGCACCCGTATGGTCAATGACCTTCACTGGATATTTCCCGTTAGGGGGATCCCCGAGTCGTATCCCATCAAGGCGTCCCAGGCCCCTTGTGTAGAGTGTAAGGCCCGGAGCCGCGTGGAAGAGAGGGTAGAGGTGACGCTGACCGGGTTGGCCCCTAATGCCGTGGGCTCCGGCTTAGGGCGGTATCCAAGTATTACTCCGATTAATTTGCTGGGACGTCACGTGCCTGGAGAAATGGAATATGGAGTTGATTACTTGAACGTACCAGAAGAATTTAGGTAATTATATCTTTTCATAACAGATATAGTGTCATCTTCTTTATTAACCTTTTCACTCCAAGAAATGTTGTCGAAAAACATCTTTTGAAGCTAGTCGAGAGGTTTTCTGTACAACTATCAGGCCAAAAGAAACAAAACCTACCCAAAACACTGTTTGTACATCAATCACTTCGACGTTTTCTGTCCCTAATGCAAAATACCAACTTTGAAAGTTCAGGCATGCGCAGAATTTGGTTTTATCGTTCGCGTTTCTTATTCGTATCCTTTCCTTTTTTTTTTCTTCCAGGGACTTTTACTTGGCTTCATTTCTTTCTGTAGGGAACGTTTTTGTAGGGTCGTAGAATAACATAATATAACGTAGGAGGGTAGTGGTTCAAGATTTCCATTGGTCAACTTAACATGGGTTTTAACCTTTCTTCTCCAGCCTATTGTCTTTGTAACCCGTAAAAAGGTTACAAACAAATCACAGCATGATATTATGAAAACTTGTGAGATAGGTAAAGCCAGGTAATATCCTTTGAAATTCACAATTATCCCTAGAAATTCACAATCTTTATTTATGCTTCAGATACGAACTCATTTTTGATGACGCCGAAAGCCAATCCTGTCTGGAGAGGTCATTGGGTGTAAGTCTGTTAAGAAAGATGAAAAATCAAGTTTCTGGAGTAGTCATTCTCTTGTTTAACTTCGTGTTTTCACCATTCAAGCCGTTCAGGTAACTTCAAAATGTTTCGGCCTTGTATTGAATTTTAGTCCTGTGTTATACCATATCCCACTGTTCCAAACTGATTTTTTTTTTAAGTTAATTAACTATCATTGAAGAAGGCTGAGTGTGAAGTGAAGAATTATGCAGATCGATTATTTTTTTTTTTTTTACCGGTCGAGGTGGATAACATTCCCGGAGATCAGCATAATTCTTCACATTATAAGAAAGCCGAATTCAATAATTGCTTTATTGTTTATTAAAAATATTTCTATGTTCTTAAGAAGGTTGGCTCCTCTATTTGCCTATTTCTTGGCACGGTTTGAGGATATCCCCTCCAAAAGGTAGATGTCATCCATGGAGCAATATGTTTTGCGTTTTCTTTTATTTCTTCCGCTTAGTCTTCAGAAATTCAGCTATTTCGTCTTCGGATAGCCGTGGAAGCTATTTTTTGTAGTTCACTTGTGAATAAACAACAAGGTGGCAGCTCCTGGAAAGAGGTATTGCCCAAGCAGCCTCGTTTCCATGCAAATATACCATCGATCAACCTTGTTTGCCAACAAAGATACCATCGAATCGATGGTATCTTGCTCGCATCTTCCAAATTTGGTCAAGGTCATTAGTCGTAAAAGAATTGCTCAACAGCATCGCTTCCGACGAGCAACAAAATGATTTCGAGCCACGCCTTGCTAGATAGACCACTTGACGTGCCATTTTGAGCATTCGCTCACGGCAGGTTCAACGTTTATTTTTAATGTGAAACAATTTATAGGAATTTACTTTGATATGGTCAGATCTGAATTCACTTTCGGCTAAACACTGTGTCACCTCAAGTCTTTTTTGAATCACCGGACTCTGAATGCTTTATCATGCTTTCATCCAGTTAGTGGTGCGATGGGGAACTGACAGGTTTTTTTCTCGTTGCTGTTCGTTTTTGCAGCCACAGGACACAGCTGATGATCACGGCCGCTTCCGGTGGAGTGTGGAGATTTCCCATCCGAGTGTTAGCTACTGAACCGGAAGTAGACGATGTAATTACTATCGAATCTGTTGGTCTAAATAAGAAATCAGTTGTGGGCTTCAGGATGAACAGTCAAATGAGGTGGGTGTATGGGGCGTGATCAGATCACGTGATTAACGCAAAATCTGCTGCATTCTCTGTATCACAGTTCCTTTAAGAGCAAGGATTAGAGCGGTTGGTGTGTGGCCTCCCGTGCAAGAATTCCCCAGTTCAGTCCCCAGGGGAGTAACCTCAAGTCTTTCTTTCGTCTCCTTTCCTTTCCTTATATCTACGAGTAGCTTTGAGCAGCCTATGACCAGCCACCCCCTCCCCTCAGAAAAAAATCGAAGAAGGTGGTGGGGGGTGGCTATACACAGGCTATGCTTTGAGTACCTTTTAATATCCGTCAAATGGGGTAAGACAGACCGGGGGGAATGAACGCACCGTCGACCTCAGGTTTGTCAGTCAGGCCCCGGTTCTTCAAACGTTGGATAGCGCTATCCGGTGGATAAATCACTATCCAGTCGATAAGTATTACGGAAATCAATTACGCTATCCGCTGGATAGTGATTTATCCGGTGGATAACGCTTTCCAACGTTTGAACAACGGGGGCCAGATGATGACTTTTTCGAGCTAACGACGTAAAATAAAAACTCTTCTGGTTCACCTTTTTGTCTTCGTCCTTTTGTATAGTTAATTTTCTTTGCAGAATGACAACTGAATAGTCTACCTTTTTTCAGACACACCCTTCCATTCGAGGCATTCTTCGCTCCCAGTTCTGACCCGGATTTCACAGTCACCCCAGAATGTGGGGAGCTTCCTCCGTCTGGTACCGAAGGAACACTGATCAAGGTGGCCTACAAACCTCAAATATACGGCAAGACGCACAAGGCTAAACTGGTGGTTCAGGTAAGATCTATTAGCCTCAACTGGCCCTTGTTTCCCACCCGATCCCAGATCCTCTCAGATGGAAATGCATGGAAAGAGCACGAAAACTTTAAGGCGATGAGCGTGATGACAGAAGTGACCTTCTCCCGCCCATTTTCTTATCATGCCCCACATATGGCCGAGTGTTTTCTTGTCTCCCGTGATTTTTCCTGTCTACTTACAAATGACAAAAATTGTAACTGGCAACTATCTTTATTTTGCTGATAAATTTCATCATGTGGAAAAATATGTGAGCCATTTTTCGTGTGAATTCGTAGCTATCGGACAGGGGTAGTAACTAATTGTCATGAGGTTAAAAACATCGACTTTCAATCAGCTTCCTGGAGAAGGCATTTTAATAATTCCGCGTTTTTCTTGGTTTTCTCGCAGACATCAGACATGCAATGGACATATGATATTCTAGGTACTACCGCTGACTACAATCCGCCAAACGTGCAGGCAAGAATCACGTCCACCAGTGCAAACTCGGCGCGCCGGACCGTGAAGCAGAAGAAGAACTATGTACTAGGGAACTTGAAGTTGCAGAGTACAGCCGTGTCGTCCCCTTATAAGGGAGTAAGACTTGTGTCACGCTCAGCTAGATAACAACGACTCACAAGTATACACGCTGTATAGCAAGCGAAGTTAGAAGAAAGTGTTAATTGTCCGAAATGCTTGGAAGCGTTTTGTTCCAATGTAGCATATGTACATAATGTTTCCCAACCGATATATTATTTTTGTACCGAAAGCTTTTTTGTTCATTTTGTGTGTTTGGCACTGTAGATAAAATTCTCATTACACATAGCTGTACAAATGTTATTACAAATTGTCCAGTTAATAAAATATTGAATGAAATGTCAGTTCCCGAAGTCAAGAGATTTCACTTCTTTTTTAGTTCCATCTGGAAATGAAGGTTGTTTACCATTTTCCGGAGCCATTTAAATGGGCAAACTGGTCAATTCACAGTTTGGGCAAATGGTAAGCAAAATTCAAGACGATGTAAACCCAAATTTTCGAAAAAAAAATTTCCCGGAAGGTTTCTTTCCATTCAACTTTGCTCCCTTAATTTTCCAGAATTTTCGGTTGAATGGTTCGCTTTTCGGAAATTCACCAGTTTCCGGAATTTTTGGAAACTTTTCCTGGCAATTTCTGTACCATTTTTGCCGCTGGTTCCAAATTTTCGAAAGTTTTGGTTGAATTGGAAGCGTCTATTATCTCGGAAAGTATTACCTTTCATCAGAAAACATCCAGTGGAATGAACGGTTCCGTTTGCTCCACCCTCTGAAATTTTCCGTACAAATGGTAAGCGCTCCGACTTCCATTCGAAAATTTTCTGCCGGAACGACCTAAGAAGAAATGTTCCATTTACTTTCTGGAAATGGTTTGTAAATAGTACGCAACCAAAAGTATGTTTTAGTACTTTTGAGTTTTAGAGAACTGATAAAACTGTTAGTAATTTCGGGCGTATTGCGAGGTGTGAGTTATTGGCTGGAGTCTTAGGGTGCTTTTCAAAAGTCGGAACTGGCCGGCGGTACCATGGCTGGAGCAGTCATTTTGACAATAAAATAGGCTTTTCCCAAGAGATTTTGCTGAAAAATCATCTCCTTCTTGCATACTATTTTGGTTTCATTCTTCTTCGCCAGCTCATCCGAATGAAAATAATTTTCTTACTACCAGCTAAATGACGACACAAACAATATAGGAAGTTGTATCGCATAAGTACAACCTTGGCATTTATTATCACCGATATTATAATATTACATGATATTATAAGCCTAGATTCTAGTTCATCACATAATGAGTCCATATCATTACTTGGGGTTAGACTGCCCCGCTGTGGAGGGCCAAGGGAACTGCTGCTACCCAGTGGGTCTTGGTGAAGGCTTCAGCTGGCTTGGTTGCTTATACTTGTAAGGGGGGACATTGCAGGTTTTACTCCAGTGACCTGGCCATCCGCATGTGAAACATATGTCTTGTGGATTAGGCTGTCGACGGCCTTGCGGCAAAAGAAAACATAAACGAAAAATTAATTGAACAAGATTCTCTTAAAGTAATAAAATCCACCGCCAAGAAGTACTGTACAGTACCGCAAATGATCCCCAACCGCAAATGATCCCGAGACCGCAAATGATCCCCAAAATGGACCGCAAATGATCCTCGACCGCAAGTGATCCCCAAAGTCGACCGCAAATGATCCCGAAAGAAAAATAGGAATGGCTTAGACTCGAGTTAGCGGATCGTCGTGACGATTTTATTATTAATACAAAAAGTAAGATTAAACGCTAAATTTCAGTTCTTAAATAAATACGTATATACATGAATAAAAACTAAATGAAAAAATCATTCAAGTGTAAAACGAAGTCGGTAGGCAACACAAAAAATGCTGCTTGTTCCAATGAATTTTTCTCTCTGGCGGGTAGATTATACCTGAAGGAAAACGCTTTGACTGAGCAAATGTGATTTTTGCCGCTTATTTCATACTGAGAGGTCATGACACGCATTTTCTGCGGTTATTGTTGTTTGTGGTCGGCATGATTTGCTGGATTGTCCTCGTTAATGCAAGAGCATTTCTTTGACCTCTTTTGAAATGCAATGCTGCTCATTCCGGCTAAATAAGGGTTTTAGGTTGTTTAATTTTCTTTAAAGTGCCTCATGGATCCGAACAATTATAAGCGACTTTCTTTTAGTCCGTGAATGTGATGGTTCCTACGATGTTTTGTCACGCGATAACTATCGCTTGCCTCGCTTTTGCGTTTCTCATTACCAGGTTTAGATTCCTGGTAACTGTCTACAGCAAAGGCAAAAAAATGGATATAAATATAAGCGTCAATATAACTATTCGCAACATGTTCATGAGCTGTAGGCAAGTTGCTCTTTCAAAATAAACCGAAAACTGTGGACATTGACAAGTTCGGTGGCATTTTGACGAGTGTTTCTTTCAAATCATGTCTTGTTTTTTAACGGGCACTCCCAGGCCTGGGGCACTCATAAGTTACGAACCAATGTCTTGCTGTTTATCACGTAAAATTAACACTTCAGAGAAAAATCAAAACTAAATATTCTGAAAATTAATTCGACGCTTCTAAAAAGATCAGTAAAGCCAATAAAGCTCTTGTTATGTAGCGGGTGCCCGGCTTTGTATTCCTCAGTAGACAAGTTGAGCTTGGGCGTTAAAATAATAGAGTTTTTTCTGCGTAACGTCCTGCCTGTCTTAAATTTTCAGCGACGAAACAGTTCTTGAAAGAAAATTGAAGCAATTGACAAAGGAAGAAGTATACGGTTGATACCATATCCTTTTCAGATTTATTCTACTTTTTTTTTCGCCTTGTATAAATTGACCTGAGATGTAGCGTCCTCCTTCCCTTTTTCTCTAGAAGGCGCGAGAAAAAGGTTCCTTTTTTTATAATCAGTCCTTTTTTGTAATCATTCCCATAAAATCCATTCCATTCCTCAAGTTTTCACGGGATCATTTGCGGTCAACTTTGGGGATCACTTGCGGTCGAGGATCATTTGCGGTCCATTTTGGGGATCATTTGCGGTCTCGGGATCATTTGCGGTTGGGGATCATTTGCGGTACTGTACAGTACTTAGAGGAGCGATAGCTGGATAATGAAAATTATGCTACGCGTAGAATAAATACTCTCGCTAATGAGACGCAATCGAAAAAGCACATACGCGCGTGTAAACTCCCAACAAGAAAAGAACAATGCGTCAAGCGCAGTCCATAAGAAAATACCTTTTCATTCTCCTTCGCCAGCTCATCCGAATGAAAATAATTTTCGTACTACCAGCTAAATGACGACACATAAACAATATAGGAAGTTGTATCGCATAAGTACCACGTGGAACTCACAAAGAAAGATAGGATAAATTCTTACAAACCTCGAAAAAGCAAATTATCCTGAGAGTTGGACGGAACATTCCGTATGCTACTACCAGTAGAGCGACACCTAGAAGCAGATTTAGCCATCTGAAACTTTTTACCGACTGCTTTATCTTGTGCCTTTCTGATACGCTTCTTGTCGGCCGAGTCTTCGGCGAGTTCATCACTCTCATATTCGTCTACTGCTAACCAGCCGGCTTCACCCTTGTCGGCGAGTTTGATCACAGGTAACCCAGGCTCTGTGATAGTACCACAGTACGGTTCCAGTAAAATTACAGTGTTTGTATGGGGTAAAAATATCATCCTAAAATTTCTAGGAAATACTAAATAAAGATCAATGAAACTTACTCTGCAGTTAATTGTTGTTGTCCTTATTGCTCCAACGAAGTTTCGTGATAATTTGCAGTAATTTGTTCAAATTCACTCTATCTACAATAATAATATACAAGGTAGGAAACACGAGGTGCCATTTTCGCCGACATGCTCTCATTCAACACAACTTTTTCCACGAAATTCGAACTCCAACGGAAAATAAACATGCCAGGATCGTAGAAATAGGATAGCAGCAGATATAGAAACCAATGAAGCTTTCCCAGATAGAGAAACGAATCCCACAGACTTGGACAAACTCGAAGAATATAATCCAAACACACCGAGAATACGCTCGCCGAAGCAGCCGGGCCAGATCAACGCGCGGCCAAGAAAATGAAGCCTGGGCACTGTACAAAAAAATTCCATCCCGGGAGTCCTGGGGTGACCTTTCTAAGGACCGATACATCATTTGCCCAAGGCCACCCTCCCCTGCTGGAAAAATACTTGATAGAAGGCAATTGTTCTTCCTAGCCAATCACTATGGCCTGTTATAAAGAGATTATTTTCCTCTCGAACTATATTCAGCTCCTCGCGCTGGTCCTCAGAAAGTTTATCAAACATCAATAGGGCAATGTTATAAGGGCAAAGGAAAGAACAACGAAGGAGGATTTACAAAACTTAAAACGACCAAAAGATATAAGTGAATTTTGGCTCTTACCGAGGCATTTGTACAACAGGACCAAATTCAAAGAGAGGTGTATCTCGATGATTCACATATTTAACCGATAGAGCGTTCACTTGTATTGACAAGAAGTCGGCGTGTTACTGCCGCATTAATCGCTTAATATGTTAATCGCGCTAGTTCTTTGTTTACTAGTGCACGTGCCTTTCACATTCGTCTCAGTTATCGCAATTCATATTCTGTCGCAATTTTCTGTATAATTTTTGACATTAGTTTGTAAGCTTCACCGTTTATTTACGATACTTTCGCTCGAGAGTTCACAGCAACAGTATCTCAGTTATCATCTACCTTTTGTTCAACCTTGTTTTTAGCCCGCCTTGTAAGCATTTCGCGTTGTTTTTTCATTAGTTTCATTACTGTTATTTGCATTCCTCAGTAGAAGAAATGGGACGCCTTGTAACTCCGCAGACTCTCCTGATTATATTACTTTTTTTTAGCCATTTAAATTCAGGCGCGTGTGCGGGGTTTGCTCTGGCAAATGGTGATTAGCTAAGAAGAACAATTGCCTTCTATCAAGTATTTTTTCCAGCAGGGAGGGTGGCTTTGGGCAAATGATGTATCGGTCCCTAGAAAGGTCACCCCAGGACTCCCGGGATGGAATTTTTTTTTGTACAGTGCCCAGGCTTCATTTTCTTGGCCGCGCGTTGATCTGGCCCGGCTGCTTCGGCGAGCGTATTCTCGGTGTGTTTGGATTATATTCTTCGAGTTTGTCCAAGTCTGTGGGATTCGTTTCTCTATCTGGGAAAGCTTCATTGGTTTCTATATCTGCTGCTATCCTATTTCTACGATCCTGGCATGTTTATTTTCCGTTGGAGTTCGAATTTCGTGGAAAAAGTTGTGTTGAATGAGAGCATGTCGACGAAAATGGCACCTCGTGTTTCCTACCTTGTATATTATTATTGTAGATAGAGTGAATTTGAACAAATTACTGCAAATTATCACGAAACTTCGTTGGAGCAATAAGGACAACAACAATTAACTGCAGAGTAAGTTTCATTGATCTTTATTTAGTATTTCCTAGAAATTTTAGGATGATATTTTTACCCCATACAAACACTGTAATTTTACTGGAACCGTACTGTGGTACTATCACAGAGCCTGGGTTAGCTGTGGTTTGATGAGGTTCTGACGCCTTTCAATGAGTTTAATTGTACGCTTGGCCGTTTTGTTCGCCGAATCTGTATCTTGGGTTTGAAGGTCTTCAGTAATGGACTTGACCTCGTCGAGGAGTTCAGCGTTGAAGAGAAACTGCTTGAGATTCCACTTCTTCTTCAGCTTAGAAGCTTTGGCCTCTCTGCGGAGTTTCTTCGTTTCGGAGAGAGATTTGCTAGATTCGGTGTTACTCGACGACGCGGTTGAAAGCTCATGTAATCTTGAATCTACATAACCTTTAAACTGTTCGAAGACAGCGTCAAATTGGCTAGAACGCTGAATAGGCGGCCCAGTTCCTGTAGCACCATCGGACGGGTGATCACTATCGGACATATCAGTTGCAAATCCACCGTCAAGAAGTACTTAGAGGAGCGATAGCTGGATAATGAAAATTCTGCTACGCGTAGAATAAATACTCTCGCTAATGAGACGCAACCGAAAAGCACATACGCACGTGTAAACTCCCAACATGAAAAGAACAATGCGTGAAGCGCAGTCCATAAGAAAATACATATTTGACTGATCTGGCTGGATAGTTTTAATTAAAAGTGAAATTCCCAACACGACGGGAATCGTCTGGCCGCTAAGTTCTGACAAATGGAAAGCGCCCTTAGTGTGGTTTTCAAAAGTTAAAACTGGCCGGCCGTACCATGGCTGGAGCAGTCATTTTGACAATGAAAGCTTTTCCCAAGAGTTTTTGCTGAAAAATCATCTCCTTCTTTCATGCTATTTAGGATTTGACTGATCTGGCTGGACAGTTTTGATTAAAAGGTTAATCATTATTGCGACGGGAATGGTCTGGCCGGTCAGTTTTGACAAATGGAACGCGCCATTTAATGCGAATTTTCGGTGTTTTCTATTTTCGTTAAGGCTTATTATTTTTCTTTTCTTTATTTTTTTCCTATTTGTTGTGACAGCATTTTTTTATATTTAGACTGCTCAAATATTCAGACGGACTCCATACGTGCGAAACTCTTTGTTTAATATTTTCTCACGTTACAATTTTTCAATCAGCTATTGTTGTTTTTTTTTAGTATTTATAGACCAAAAATCACTAACTTATTTTGACTTGATAATGACGTTCAGCTAACGTCGAAACGTCGTCGCTTTTTAGCAATTTTTTAGATTTTAAGAAATGTTTTATCGCAATTTTTTATAGTTAAATGCAATTCGGTTAGATAGTTTTTTTTTAAAAAAAAAAAGCTTTAACTGGATTGAGAAGGAACTAAGCTTAAAATGTTACTATATCTTGAAAAGCGTAGAGTACATTGTTTTAAGTCGCTTTTTTATTTAATTTTCTGTTGTTTACGTTTTTGCATTTAGCAATTAAGGGTGCGATCCTTTGGGATGATCAGGATCAGTGATCTGAGATCACTCGGATCATAGTAGATCAAATGAACCGATGAATCCACTCTGAACAAGGATTCATCGGTTCATTTGATCTACAATGATCCGAGTGATCTCGGATCCCTAATCCTGATCCGGATCATCCCAAAGGAACACACCCTAAAAATCAAAATGGTGGGAGTTGAATTTGTATGTGTATATCATAGGTGACGAATTACTCCTTAATTTTGGCGCGAAATTTCAGCGTTCATGTGAAATTACAAAATTGCCATGGCAACCCAACGTATGTCTCAGTGTCAAGATGGCGATGAAGTTTTAAAATGTCATGAATGAAGATGTCAGGGCAGAAAAAGACGCTTTAGAAAACCTGAACACACGAAAGAGCACATCAAGAAGGATTCTAACAGGTATTTTGTCGAAAAACTCTGAACTTAAGCCAAATTTAAGCTCTAAACGTTCGAGAGAGTGCAGGAGTTCTCGATCGATACGATCCAGGATAAACATGTCCAAGATCCAAGATAGCTAACGTAATTCGTCACCCATGATGTTAATACGAAATCAAATGGTATACTTGTGAAAGTAGGGAATAATTTCACTTGCGTTTTGTCCAAATCCTAATAATTTCCCGAGCCTTTGAAATTATAAGGATCTGGGCAAAACGCGAGTGGAATTATTCCCTAATTTCACTCGTCACCGTTTGATTACACATACTAATCAAATTGTGACGAGTGAAATTAGGGAATAATTTCACGCGCGTTTTGTCCAAATCCTAATAATTTTCCGAGCCTTTACGTTAGCAATCTTTTCCCGAGCCTTTACGTTAGCAATCTTGGATCTTTGACATGTTTTTCCTGGATCGTATCGATCGAGAACTCCACTCTCTCAAATGTTTAGACCTTAAATCTGGCTTATAAAGTTCAGAACTTTTTCAGACTTTTTCGGCAAAATACCTGTTACAATCCATCTTGATGTTCTTTTGTGTGTTCATGTTTTCTAAAGCGTCTTTTTGTGCCCTGACATCTTCATTCACGGCATTTTAAACGCTGTGGCTATATGGCCGGTAACCGGTCAAGGTGTTAAAAACACTAAATGACCGGCAGTCCCATATTCCGTAAATTTCACAAAATCGAAAGATTCTAGCTAATCTAAACTATCATATGTCGATTAAGACAAGTCAAGCGATCCTGAAATGTTTTCTAGATCTCAAGTCTAGTGTTTGGTTTACGCTGGGCTCAGAAGACGAAACCGTGTTTTGTGACTCTCGCAACTTTTTTCAGCTCGACTGCCGGTCAAGGTTTTCAAAACACTAAATGGCCGGCAGTCCCATATTCTCAGTAAATTTCACAAATCGAAAAATTTCAGCCCTTCTAAACTATCTTAAGTCGTGATCCTGATCAAACAAGCCGGTTTTGTGGGATTTCTGTTAATTCTTTTCATGTTTTTGTTGGTCTCGAGTTTTTGGGTGTTCGTTACTATTTTCTGTCCAAAGCATGGCGTGACAGACGACGTTTGACGTCATAACTTCTTGACCTTTCATGCAGCCTCCGCGGAAAACCGGCGGGAAAAGTCTCCACGCGTTAGTTCCCTTCTGGAGCTGAGCTTGTTTCATCATAACGTCGACAAGATAATGTTGAAGTGTATTTCAGCTCCAGAAGGGAACTAACGCGTAGAGAGCTTTGATCAGGATCACGACTTATGATACTTCAGAACGGCTGAATTTTCTCGATTTGTGAAATTTACTCAGAATATGGGACTGCCGGCCATTTAGTGTTTTGAAAACCTTGACCGGCTGTCGAGCTGAAAAAAGTTCTATATGTCACAAAATACGGTTTCGTCTTCTGTGCCCAGCGTAAACCAAACACTAGACTTGAGATCTATAAAGCATTTCAGGATCGCTTGACCTATCTTAATCTACATATGATAGTTTAGATTAGCTAGAATCTTTCGATGTTGCGAAATTTACTGATAATATAGGACTGCCGGCCATTTGGTCTTCTGAAAACCTTGACCGGTTACCGGCCATACAGCCACAGCGCATTTTAAAACTTGTCGCCATCTTGACACTGAGACGTACGGAAAGGTTGCCATGGCAATTTTGTAATTTCACATGTGAGATTACAAATTAACGCTGAAATTTCGCGCCAAAATTAAGGAGTAATTCGTCACCTATGATATTATCTATAAAATATATTTTGTTGAGCATACCACAGCCTACAACGTAAAGTGGTATGGGTGTGTTATAGTGCAAACCATTTCTCATCGTCGTTTAACCGTGCCTATAGTTAGCATATTTTTCTGTTTTCATTTCCGATGAAGACTTTCTAGTTACTTTCCGTGCGTAAATAGTTTACCATACAATTCACAGTCCCCTTTTAAGTGCAAGTTAATTAGCAACGAAGGATCCAAAGCGAAAATAGCCGAACGAAAAAGCGCTTATGTTCCTAAGTCACCGAGTTTCGTTTCTTCAAATTTCACGGAATGGGATCGCTAACAGGAGAGAAAGCTAATTCAAGAATCAGCTCGTTTACATCCACCCCCAGTTGTGATATTTGTCCGCCCTGCATCGAAATTCAAGCCAAAATTTGACGTCAGGAGAAGAGACAACAAGCCCATTCCACAATCCCATGAGAGCTCTTCCCGATTAACACTCGATCAATAACTATTGTCCCTCGGTTGGATTTTTTTAAGAGCCATCCCATTATCGCTCTTCATTTTTTATAAAGCTTAGGTCCGTCTTATGCCTGAAAGTACATTGTAAATACGCGAATAAAAATTCTCGAATATAGCTTTCATGCGATTATTTTAAATTCTTTACGATTTTAACATAACTCTCGTTATAAAAACTCGTAGCCTTATCAAATAATTTGCTGTTGTGGGCAACATTTCATTTTTCTTTCAAGTCCATGTGGTTGCATGACTTTGCTTACTGAGACACTTATGATTGACCTGAACTGATCTAGACGTTTATGCCATCAGAGTCATTGACTGTTCTTTGCTGATCTTGGTTTTTTTATATTATGTCCAACGTCCAAGACTAAGTTATTGTAGAAAAAGCTTGAAGTTTGCTCTTCAGGCAGTGTAGCGTAAGGAAACATGTCAATCCGAAGCACACTACCCTGATTCGTGCTCCGTTTTGTGTTTTTATCAACCTGGCGACTTCGTCTTGCATGGTGCTTAAAACACCGCAAAAAAAGACTTGGTAAATATCCAACCATCTCAGTTACCTTACGCTTCGTCCGCCAATAACGCATAATTTTATAGAGAAAGATGACTTATCCGCACGGTAAACTTAAAACGGGTCAAGAGAGTATTGATATTGAAGGCAAATACGACAAAAATCCGAGTAAGAATCTGCATTTTCCCACGTAAACCTAAACAGGACCATACTTTAAAAATAGTAATTGGAACAAATTTAGGCTATTTAGATTGCTTACTCTGAGGAAAACTAAAAAATTCGTTGTAGCAAAGAGTATTTAGTGATATTCAGCTCAGATTCCTTGTATAAAATCTGCATACCATTACATAATTATTTTGCAGTTGGAGTGGTAAGGCACTTTAAAAAGGATCCTGAATGTTTACTTACCTTATTTGCCTAAGCGTACAGAATTTCTTTATAGATTTAAAAGATAGAAACTTGTTTCACATTTTAGTCTAAACTGGTTCATGGATAGAGCGAGCCTAAATGGCAAATTTTAGCCCAACAGGTTCTTAAAAACCAAGTTCTTACTCGCGGGTTTTACTGTACTCAGCCATCTATACCGAAAAAGCGCGGTCAAGGAAGGACCATTTTCTACCCGGGATTGTTCTGTCCGTGGTATTATATATATGGCCAAAACGGGCGGACAAGACAGGGACGGGCCATCTCCCCAAGCTGGGGTCAGAATACATGATTTGCTTCATCTTGCGCGCCGATATTATAAAGCCTGTAAGAATTGTAAGAAGTAACCTCTCCCCCCACCCTACAAGAATAGATTGGAATGTCATTCTTCCGGTAGAAGCCCCGTAAAAGGAGGTATTTAGAAACGTCATGCAATCAATCGGCTGTTTGTCTTAGAATGCGCAGAGAGAAAACATTGCAGGCATTTTCTTATTTTCCTTTGAACAGATCGTTTTGAGCAGTTCCCTGACGGGCTACATGCTGAACTTCATACTTCGTAAAGAGAAACAAGGTAACCTAATTTCATGAATTTTTGCGAGAACTAGATTTTCTGTTGTTTAATACAATACATCAACAACAACAAGTTTATTCAGTATTACCATTTTGTACAGGTGTTACCGATTAAAATAACAATAAGCAGCTGAATTTAAGGAAATGAAGATATAATGGAATGGTAGAATTAACTATGTTTCTTTCGTCTTTCAAATGCTTGAAAGATGAAATTAGCAGCTAGCCTGCTGATAGGTGAATCAGTATTGTTAAAAAGAAAACCGAATTTATCATGGATATTGTAATTTGTAAATAGTGTATTTCGGTCGTTGATTTTGATAAAAAGAGTCTTTCTCAAATCATTGTATTGATCACACTGAAATAATATGTGCAGTTCATTTTCAACCGAATTTTGGTTGCAATGATCACAGATTCTAAGGTCTTCAGGAGTTTTGGGGATTGTAAATCTTCCAGTTTCTATTTTCAAATTATGATTTTCTATCCAAAATTTGGAAGCTACACGCCTATGTTCAGGATTCCGGATATGATTGATGAATTCAGAGTAATTTGTTTCATTTTTAAAGATGGAGTAGAATTTTAGTTTTTTATTTATTAATTATACGATAATTACTGCCCAGACAAAAAGTAGCGTCTGCTCCTGAAAAGGCTGAAAAGGACTGCAAAGAATTACGTTTAAGGCAACAGAAAATATTTAGGAGAACCAGGAAACAAAACGCTGTCAACAATTTCTGTTTTAGGAATCAAGAAACACACTTAGTCAAGGTATTACAAGTCGGTAGCTTCAGAGCATTAAAAGGAGTACTACGACATCCACCTTCCAACGACTGTGAACAACCTGCGCGACTCGGTTGGAGCAGATCTTCAGGAGTCCTTTACCAGGTAAATGTGCATTTTTATTGTTTCTTTGTTTTCAGATTCATGATGCCGGAAGGAGAATCTGGTGTGCTTTGTTTTATGCATATCTCATTACGAATTTATTTCCTCGTCCTGGTGATTTGACGCCCATCGCATGAACATCTTTTCTGTAATCGGACTCCAAAGGCGCTTATTGCACGTGATCACAGCAAAACGTCACGCAAATTAAAATCAGCTCAGTCATTTGAAATTCAGATTAGATATCAAAACGGTTCTTTGAGTGATCCATGACTTTTTTGCAGTGGAAATTAAAAAAATTTTTGTCGCCTTTTATTCAAACTTGATTTGAACAATTTCGCTTCTCCTGCCGTATTTGAGAAGTGAAGGTAATAAATAGACTTTGACCCACTGAATGGGTATCAAAGATTGTTCAACGTCCTGTTTGTTCTAAGGATTAAGTTAGAGCAAAGGTCCCTTGTTTGGTTTACTTGTTTCTTCAAGACAATCGTTCAACTTCTAATAAAGAGAAAACGCTAATAACAAAACCGAAAACACCTACACGTTGCGAGCAAAGACAAACAAATAAACAAAAATATAATGCGCTGATCTACTCAGCTGGCATGTATTCATCAGGATGGTACCTAACGAGAAATATATTTCACTGCTGATATCCTGAAACCTACATACGCATTGTGTAGCTATAGAGACACCCACGAGATCTTTAGCTGGTGTCCGCCTTATGAACTTTAGTATCCGACAGTAAAGTGAGGTGAAAAAACTTTATTTCTCGTTTTTAGTTTTATCAAATAACTTTACGATAAATTATCTGTTTTACCTAAAGCCCCTGCTTAAGAATTTGATTTACATGAAAACATATCTATATCTAAAATTATACTAAGGAAAGATCACACACTACATAAACTAAGAAAGAAGAAAATTTATAATGTTTATGTATGTAGTGTGTACTACTTTATCTAAAATATTTCAAAGAGAAGTCTCTTTCTTTAGACTAGAAAGGAGAGAATGTTAGAGTTAAACGCCTTGACAAGGCAAAAGTATTTTTAAACTGAGGTTGTTCTTGCTTTTTATCTAGAAATTCAAAGGTAATAATTGTACAATTTGGTTTAAAGATTGAACATGTCTAGCAGATACATAAGAAAGAATGAGGCCGTTTCTTACTTTGAACATCATTACAACCGTAATGTTGTCTCATTTCAGAGGATTTACTCATAATCGGTTAAGTTCGTTTGAGCCACCCACACCCCCTCACCTTACACACACACACACATACACACACACTCCGATTACAGTGGAGACAACTTATACACTCGTCATCTTCCACAACTCTTAAATCTCAACTGCCAAATCGAGATTCGTGATTCTTGTCGACCTTTTCCTCTTGTTTGATGTCCCCTTTTCTGTCACAAGGGAATGCAATATCAATGATGAGGCAATTTTTGTTCTGTTTGTCCACCAACACGATGTCGGGGAGATTGTGGTCCAGTTTCTTCTCTCAGTTTAAATAGAGAAATTCCAAAGTGACTTGAAATTCTCATTATTATCATTATTACTATTATTATTATTATTATTATTATTATTATTATTATTATTATCTCTTTTATCACAGTCTTTGCTGGTGTTCTTTTTGTGCATCAGCCGGGCGCAAACCATGCACCTAGAGCGTTAGTCACTCAAGTCAATCATTCTGTTCATACACTGAGCACCTTTCTGAGGATTCGCGCAGATCCCAGCATGCAGATCTTTTGAATCTCTGTCACAGTAGCTCTCTCTGATACTTTCTTGATGTTTTCTACCATACCCTTCTTCACTCTACCAAGCGCACCAACAACCACAGGGATCACTACGGTTTTTTATATGCCACAATCTCTGTATTTCTAGGTCTAGGTCTTTGTACTTGCTTTTTTTTTCAGTTTCCTTCAGTGCGATGTTTCTATCTGATGGAACTGTCATATCAATCAGTTTGCAGGTGGAATTCACTGAATCTTTAACGATGATGTCTGGTCTATTCGCTGTTATAGTTCTATCAGTATTGACTGGCATGCCCCACATGATGGTGATGTTGCTATCTTTATTGTGCATCACGGTCTCTGGCTCGTGTTCATACCATTTGTCTGTAATCTCTATATCATGATCTTTACAGATGCTCCAATGGAGATATGCTGCAGCATTATTGTGCCTGGAGATATACTCTGTTTTGGCTAATACCTCACATCCAGATACAATATGGTCCACTGTCTCTTCATGTTGCGAACACATTCTGCATTTGCTCTCCACTTGCTGGCCACATATTACTTTCTGGTAGTTTCTGGTGTTTATTGCCTGGTTTTGAGCCGCTACAAGTAGTCCCTCTGTTTCTCCTTTCAAATTACTTGACAACCATTTGTTGGTAGTGACTGTGTCTAAATGAGGCTTCTCTAGGATCTTTGGATACTGGCCATGCAATGCTTTATTTTTCCACTTTTCTTCTTTCATTGACTTCATCTTGGACTTAAACTCGTGTTTCAGGGCTTTAGCATTTTCAGAGGCAGATTTATCTTCTCTGTTCTCAATCTCTGGCATTGTTACTTCAATTTTGAATTTAGTAGCATTTTTGGATATTGAATTTTTGGCTTTAGATCTTTCATGATCAAGCACCTGCTTTAGATATTGCCCTTCTTTGTGCTTCAGATAGTGATCAAGCCCTATTGTTGCTGTTTTGAATGCTGTTTCTACATCAATCAGGCCCCTACCTCCATCTTTTCTTGGGATGTACAGCCTTTCCACATCTGCTTTAGGATGTAACATCTTGTGCATGTTCAATAGTTTGCGTGTTTTTGTGTCAATCTTCTTCAGTTCTGAGATTTTCCAGGCAATGATGCCAAAGCTATATTGCACAACTGGAACTGGAACTGCAAGACTACTGATAGCTTCTATTTTGTTTCTTCCATTGAGCTCAGTTCTTAGGATTAATCTTACTCTCCTATTATATTCTTTTCTTATCTTCTCTTTCATTTTGCTATGCTGGATACCATTACTTTCATCTACACCCAGGTATTTGTATACTCCTTCCTGGGCCAACTCTTGTATTTCTGTGTCATCATCTATTACTATGTTTCCAGTTGAGGCCAGTTTACCCTTCTTGAAACTGGCTTTGGCACATTTCTCAAGTCCAAATTCCATACCAATATCATCACTGAATTGTTTCACTATTATTACTATTATGTCGCAGTATGAAACTTTGCAATGCTGTCCACATTATGAGTAGTATAGGGCGCATAGCGTAACCTACACCACTTGAGAAGCTATACTTAGAACTAAAAAAAGGTCGATACGAAACCTAATACAATCCTAAAATACATAGTGATATGAATGTCTCTACTTAAAAAGCCAATTTAGAATATTATTATATTCTGATACTCTGTAAAACCTTCGCTATCTCTATTAAAAGCTTATACATAGTGATATAAATCTCTCTACTTAAAAAGCCAATTTAGAATATTATTAAATTCTGATAGTCTGTAAAACCTTCGCTATCTCTACTAAAAACTTATTTATAATAATATCAAACTCTAATGTTCTAAAACATCTAAGTAAAAACGTCAGCAAGCTTGTGTTTCTAGATTTCTAGAGAAAAAACAAGAACCTAAAAACTGTCCATAGCGCCCTAACTAAGTATTTATCTTAAATGTTCTGGCAATGTTTAAAGTGTTTGAGATGACCGACTTCTGCATCCGCTCAAGTACGCTCCGTGCTCTCGCTCCAAGTAGCTTCCTCACCGACTTCTCTAGGTGTTTAGAGTAACCCCCCAGTACGCCAATTATTACGTTGTACTGTTCAACCCTGTAACCATTGTATCTCTGCTTCAGCTCCCACATCATGGGCCCATACTTGAGTGTCTTTTCTTCATCTTTCTTAGCTCTACTCTCAATCCATGGGCAGCTCATTTCAATTGGGCAGACTTCTTTCCTCTCGTGGCTGACAAGTCGCGCGTCGATCCAATTATTATCCGATTATCCGATTATTATTATTATTATTATTATTATTATTATCCTCATTAAACTTCTGGATGGCTTGCTCGAGTCTTTAATAAACATCATGCCACCGCACGTGACCTTAAATGTAAAAGACTTTGCGAAGGATTCTGGCTGTACCCAGTAAGCATGCCTTCTGCAGTGATTCCAAACGACATGTGACACCAATCTCTACCAACCACTTTTCTATATCTTTCGAGACAGTCATGCAGCAACAGGGAGCTTAAGCACCAGACGTTCTTGATTCACGAACGGCATGGCTGGCCGCGAAGAACTGGATCGGGGACGCAGTTTGCGTGCCAAATGTAAATCATTAAGCAAAACAACGTGAAACAATCACGAACGCCGGCAGAATAATTCAGTTGAAAATGCCTTTCAAAGATTCGCGTTAAGTTTTGTTTCTTTCTTACGAAGAAAACATTATTTTAGGCGAAACGTTTTCTACTATTATATGACGAATACTCTTCGAAGAACCCAGAATTTGAGCCCCTGGTTTCAACCTGAGAACTCGCGTTTTGAAGTCCGCGACCACAGCTCAAGAACGTCTTGACATGCGCAGTGACTGTCTTGCTGCAAAAATACTTCCGGTTGGCGTCCGTGGTACCAAGAACGTCTGGTGCTGAAGTTCCCTAATTATGATTGGCACCACAGTTACTTTGCACAATTTTTCAGATCCGTTTCAACTCCCGCTTCAGGACTTGGTAGTTCCCAATTTTCTCCCTCTCTTTGTCGTTCACTCGGATGTCAAATGGGCAAGCAACATCTATAATCAGGCATTTGCGTTCTATCAGTATCCAATACCGTAATATTAGACTTGTTGTGTTCAATCTTGTTGTCAGTCTGTATTTTGAAGTCCCACATGCACAGCACCTGCACCCTGCACCCTGCATCGAAATTTACGCCAAAATTTGACGTCAGGAAAAGAGACAACAAATCCATTCCACAATACCATGAGAGCTCTGTGAATGCTCCACTCGCTAAAACGCAACGAAGAATGGGACGCATTAAGGTGACAGAGGAGGATTACAAAATGTTTGTTGGCAAGGAGTTGAGTCGGAAACGAAGGAAATAATTTAAAGACCATGGGGAGGTTGTTGGTGCTATTATACATACTCGAAAATTAATCCCGGTGATTAGTGAGAAACAGTTTTTTTTTTTACACAAACCGTAAGAATCACAGAATTACTTCATTTAACAACCAAGACAATCAATTCAGATCAGCCAAGATTATTTCGATCTTAAATAAAAGCGCCTCAGTATGTATATTTATCACTGGCCGACAACAATTGAACCAAAACAGTTCCCTTGATGCGTTGGAAACCGAGGATTAACATAAAATTTACTGCTCTGAAATGTACATAGCTTAGTGTTATTCATGTGAGTCAAATGTTGAAATAATCCTATAAAGTGCTTTACTTTTTAAGATATATAAATTTTTTTGATGGTTTTTTATTCTGTTTCCGATTAACACTCGATCAATAACTATTATCCCTCGGCTGGATTTTTTTAAGAGCCATCCCATTATCGCTCTTAATTTTTTATAAAGCTTAGGTCCGTCTTACGCCTGTAAGTACATTGTAAATGCGCGAATAAAAATTCTCGAATATAGCTTTCATGTGATTATTTTAAATTCTTTACGATTTTAACATGAATCTCGTTATAAAAACTCGAAGCCTTATCAAATAATTTGCTGTTGTGGGTAACATTTCATTTTTCTTTCAAGTCCATGTGGTTGCATGACTTTGCTTACTGAGACACTTATGATTGACCTGAACTGATCTAGACGTTTATGCCATCAGAGTCATTGACTGTTCTTTGCTGATCTTGGTTTTTTTATATTATGTCCAACGTCCAAGACTAAGTTATTGTAGAAAAAGCTTGAAGTTTGCTCCTCAGGCAGTGTAGCGTAAGGAAACATGTCAATCCGAAGCACACTACCCTGATTCGTGCTCCGTTTTGCGTTTTTATCCACCTGGCGACTTCGTCTTGCATGGTGCTTAAAACACCGCAAAAAAAGACTTGGTAAATATCCAACAATCTCAGTTACCTTACGCTTCGTCCGCCAATAACGCATAATTTTATAGAGAAAGATGACTTATCCGCACGGTAAACTTAAAACGGGTCAAGAGAGTATTGATATTGAAGGCAAATACGACAAAAATCCGAGTAAGAATCTGCATTTTCCCACGTAAACCTAAACAGGACCATACTTTAAAAATAGTAACTGGAACAAATTTAGGCTATTTAGATTGCTAACTCTGAGGAAAACTAAAAAATTCGTTGTAGCAAAGAGTATTTAGTGATATTCAGCTCAGATTCCTTGTATAAAATCTGCATACCATTACATAATTATTTTGCAGTTGGAGTGGTGAGGCACTTTAAAAAGGATCCTGAATGTTTACTTACCTTATTTGCCTAAGCGTACAGAATTTCTTTATAGATTTAAAAAATAGGAACTTGTTTCATATTTTAGTCTAAACTGGTTCATGGATAGAGCGAGCCTAAATGGCAAATTTTAGCCCAACAGGTTCTTAAAAACCAAGTTCTTACTCGCGGGTTTTCACTGTACTCAGCCATCTATACCGAAAAAGAGTGATCAAGGAAGGACCATTTTCTACCCGGGATTGTTCTGTCCGGGGTATTATAGATATGGCCAAATCGAGTGGACAAGACAGGGACGGGCCATCTCCCCAAGCTGGGGTCAGAATACATGATTTGCTTCATCTTGCGCGCCGATATTATAAAGCCTGTAAGAATTGTAAGAAGTAACCTCTCCCCCCACCCTACAAGAATAGATTGGAATGTCATTCTCCCGGTAGAAGCCCCGTAAAAGGAAGTATTTAGAAACGTCATGCAATCAATCGGCTGTTTGTCTTGGAATGCGCAGAGAGAAAACATTGCAGGCATTTTCTTGTTTGCCTTTGAACAGATCGTTTTGAGCAGTTCCCTGACGGGCTACATGCTGAACTTCATACTTCGTAAAGAGAAACAAGGTAACCTAATTTCATGAATTTTTGCGAGAACTAGATTTTCTGTTGTTTAATACAATACATCAACAACAACAAGTTTATTCAGTATTACCATTTTGTACAGGTGTTACCGATTAAAATAGCAATAAGCAGCTGAATTTAAGGAAATGAAGATATAATGGAATGGTAGAATTAACTATGTTTCTTTCGTCTTTCAAATGCTTGAAAGATGAAATTAGCAGCTAGCCTGCTGATAGGTGAATCAGTATTGTTAAAAAGAAAACCGAATTTATCATGGATATTGTAATTTGTAAATAGTGTATTTCGGTCGTTGATTTTGATAAAAAGAGTCTTTCTCAAATCATTGTATTGATCACACTGAAATAATATGTGCAGTTCATTTTCAACCGAATTTTGGTTGCAATGATCACAGATTCTAAGGTCTTCAGGAGTTTTGGGGATTGTAAATCTTCCAGTTTCTATTTTCAAATTATGATTTTCTATCCAAAATTTGGAAGCTACACGCCTATGTTCAGGATTCCGGATATGATTGATGAATTCAGAGTAATTTGTTTCATTTTTAAAGATGGAGTAGAATTTTAGTTTTTTATTTATTAATTATACGATAATTACTGCCCAGACAAAGTAGCGTCTGCTCCTGAAAAGGCTGAAAAGGACTGCAAAGAATTACGTTTAAGGCAACAGAAAATATTTAGGAGAACCAGGAAACAAAACGCTGTCAACAATTTCTGTTTTAGGAATCAAGAAACACACTTAGTCAAGGTATTACAAGTCGGTAGCTTCAGAGCATTAAAAGGAGTACTACGACATCCACCTTCCAACGACTGTGAACAACCTGCGCGACTCGGTTGGAGCAGATCTTCAGGAGTCCTTTACCAGGTAAATGTGCATTTTTATTGTTTCTTTGTTTTCAGATTCATGATGCCGGAAGGAGAATCTGGTGTGCTTTGTTTTATGCATATCTCATTACGAATTTATTTCCTCGTCCTGGTGATTTGACGCCCATCGCATGAACATCTTTTCTGTAATCGGACTCCAAAGGCGCTTATTGCACGTGATCACAGCAAAACGTCACGCAAATTAAAATCAGCTCAGTCATTTGAAATTCAGATTAGATATCAAAACGGTTCTTTGAGTGATCCATGACTTTTTTGCAGTGGAAATTAAAAAAATTTTTGTCGCCTTTTATTCAAACTTGATTTGAACAATTTCGCTTCTCCTGCCGTATTTGAGAAGTGAAGGTAATAAATAGACTTTGACCCACTGAATGGGTATCAAAGATTGTTCAACGTCCTGTTTGTTCTAAGGATTAAGTTAGAGCAAAGGTCCCTTGTTTGGTTTACTTGTTTCTTCAAGACAATCGTTCAACTTCTAATAAAGAGAAAACGCTAATAACAAAACCGAAAACACCTACACGTTGCGAGCAAAGACAAACAAATAAACAAAAATATAATGCGCTGATCTACTCAGCTGGCATGTATTCATCAGGATGGTACCTAACGAGAAATATATTTCACTGCTGATATCCTGAAACCTACATACGCATTGTGTAGCTATAGAGACACCCACGAGATCTTTAGCTGGTGTCCGCCTTATGAACTTTAGTATCCGACAGTAAAGTGAGGTGAAAAAACTTTATTTCTCGTTTTTAGTTTTATCAAATAACTTTACGATAAATTATCTGTTTTACCTAAAGCCCCTGCTTAAGAATTTGATTTACATGAAAACATATCTATATCTAAAATTATACTAAGGAAAGATCACACACTACATAAACTAAGAAAGAAGAAAATTTATAATGTTTATGTATGTAGTGTGTACTACTTTATCTAAACATATCCAAAACCTGGATAACGGAACATCTCGACTCTGTAGTGAATGGCTCTATTCGAAAATGGCTTGATATTCCGATATCTGGAACACTGAGCAATGTTTTCCTAGAACGCAATAAATTTGGTCTTAATATTTGTCCTCCCTCCATTAAATTTACTCAGTGCCAAACAGTTCTCCGAAATTCATTGAAAGAGTCACCAAATGATTCCTTAAATGATTTCTCGAAATCGTCAAGCTGTCACACTAATATTCAATATGATGTGTACAAATCCACTAAGGAAGTTCTGGAAGATTTCCGTTCTAATCAAGGGGATAAACTGCAACACCACCTAACATCTCAAGGTTTCTTCTTCTCAAAATGTTATCAACTACTCATTGTCATCTTTAAATTCTATTTGGTCAGAGGCCCAGTCTCATCTACCCAAGGACATTTACAATTTTACCATCCGCTACATCAACAACTCCCTCCCTGCACGTAAGAATATGGCAAGATGGGGATTATCACAAAGTCCTGATTGCTCTAACCTGAGATCAGGCTCTATTTTCGTTTCGCTTTGAAAATTACATTCCGGCGGGCAAGACGAAACGAAAAGAGAGCCTGATACAAACCTTTAAGGAAATGTCTGCCGCCCACTTTTTTGATTGATTGACATTTGCCGAATCAGCCAAGCAGAATTACTTCCGTTGCTTGTTTTTCTAGTATGCAAATTTTTCACGCGTAGGAAAAATGCAGACTGACTGACTTAAAAAATAGCTTTTATCTGTTAATCAAAATGCACCTTGTTAGCGGTCAACAACTTGCAGAGGGATTCAACTCCGCGATACACTCTCTTTCCGTAAATAAAGCAAATCCTGAGAAGATATGAACAACCACATGAATTTTCTGAATTTCCATGGCACATATTGAGGCATCTTTTCCTACCATAAGACCATAAAAGTTTTATGGTCTTATGGTAGGAAAATATGCCTTAAAAAGACAGCAAAATCGATCCTTGTCTCCACCGACGACGGATCACTCACGGAAACAACCACGCGACGAATAAGCGCTTTCAACTTCCGGCGTTTCCAACAGCCAATCAGATCTTGTGGCATTGTTCTAACAGCCAATCAGCGTTACGGTCAAAATCTGGCCGTAACGAGCACAAACTTGTAATAGTTTGTATCAGGCCCAATTTCAGCGGTAGCCGTTAGAGAGAATCAGGGCGGATAAAGGTAAAGGTTGGGCGGTGAAACGAGCGCTCCGCTCTTCATTTGATGTGTGATGCGGAGTAGGACTGGCACGAGCGCTCTTTCCGCCCTTCCGGTGTTTTGCAAACCGGAAATCCTATTTTCTTTCTGTAATTTCAGGCTACAATGTTAAATAGATAAATTCGTTTCATAACAATATCAATAAACAGTTTCATATGTTTGTGTCTGTATGCCTACAAGTCAAACTTGTTGGTCGTATAATGCCAAAATTTGAGTTTAATTTGAAAGTGTTGAATACCTTCTCCTTCCACTTTCGCCGTTTCGCTTGCAAAAGCTTAACATTTCTTAACCTCAATTTTTACATATGTTAAAGGGGGATAAATTTTATACAACATAACAAAAAATTAGATTGATGTATTTTGATACAGTGACGTTGTACCGCTTCAAACTTTGCTTCTCGGGTGCAACGCGCCATGGCGATTCGCGCAATGCGTTGCAAATCCGGCAACCGCATGTAAGCAAATTTTATTGAGGTTAGTTGTAAGGTTTTTTCTCCGTTTTTCTCTCTAAATCAAAACAAGGTAAACAGTAAAAACTGAGGGGAAACTAATTTTGAAGTTTCGAAGAAACAGAAAGACGTATGAGATGTTTTTTTCAAAATTAAAAAGGATGATGGTGATTGAAATTAGCATAATTTCAGCTTACACCAGCTGCACGCATCAGAGGCGGCCCAGACGTAGTATGTGTCGCTGAATGAATATATTAATATTCACATGGACAAATTAATGCGATGAGTCGTCGAAACTCCCATGAACTAAAATAGTCTAAAAGTCAAAATATAACAAAACAAAGCTAAGATACCTTCAACTGAACGTATCCTTGTCTTTCCTGGCCGGTTTAAGTGGCATTTTGTTGAGTTTTGCAGTTGTAGGTACTATCCACTAAAGAACAATTAAAGGCTGGCTACAAAACAAACAGGCCATCTCCACGTGCCTTCACACGAAGCGCTATAAATTCGAGAATAATCGACAAATCAACTCCAAATTGCCATCGGCTAATCTGCAGGTAACGTGTGCTCCTGCTTCTGGCTCGCTTGCTCCACAAAACCCATCGCAACTGCACAATAATTGCTCGCTCATCAACAACCACTGTTGACCTTTACGCTTCGATATGACCGCAAACGACCAGGTTTAATACGCGACGTGAATATTCAAGCTTAGCGACCGCGTTCGCGCAACAATGCAGCACTTGCTATGGGAGGGATGGTACTATTGCTTCTAGGTCAATCGACTGACCGAAGGTTCGCTGCGTTAGTTTTGACCAGAAAACAAAAGGCGATCGCGGGACCGTCCGTAAGTTTTCAACAGGGCAGCCCTGGTTTTCAAGTTCGAATTCTTCTGACGTTCGCTGTCTCAGCTGCTGTCAGATTGTTCGTCCTGCCGCTTGCATAGGTTCTTGACTCTACCAGACTTATTTGCTTAGATTAACAACGTCTTACTCCATAATATGTTGTCCAAACTGGTGAAGGAGGACGAGAATTTTCCGCCCAGGAAAAAGGCAAAATCTGGCCCCCGCTATGCAGCTGAATAGAAGATACAGCTGAAGATATCGTAAAGTAAAATTTATGTGCGCGATATCTTTTATTATTATTATTATTGTTCTCAAAACTCAGGGGCACACCCAACGATGATTTCCCCCTAAATACATTGAAAACACATTTAAGGCTGTCCAGAGTACTTTTGATCGAAAAATGCATTCTAAACAGCGCTTACATAAATTTAGTCAGGAGGGCTAAAAGCGAAGCTAATGATTTATAGTTTGCTCATACTAAATATAAAATATATCGTGTAATGCTAAGCGGAGAAGGCAACGAGACGGGGCCACCCAACGACTGTTTCCTCAAATACTTTCAATTGAAAACACTTTTGTAGCTATTCATAAAGTACTTTTAGCTCTATAGAAATGCATTCTAAGTGGCGCTATAAAATTTGCATCTCAGTGTTCGGCCATTCTAGAGGAACTTGAGTCTTTTCGAAATTACGAGGATTTCAGAATTATTTTCCCGAAAATTTTAGATGCAATTTAACGTATTACGAAGGAGATATTTTTTCAGATACCTTCTTTCATCACATTTTTGAATCCGAAAATTTTAGGATTCCATTTTACTCTCTACGAAAAATAGCCTAACCCGGTGAGTGAAATGTGAAAAATTAAAAGTTGGATGCCCTTGACCAGAACTGTGAAAAACAACAATAGGTCTAATTGCAGCACACTTTCTTGTACATTTCCTTGCCGTTGATTTGCATGACTGCAACGTAAAACGTCCAGAAAACTTCCTGGTTTTCACTTTTTATGGAGAAAATGTGGTACATGTTCTTGTTCACTTTTTCCACTGCCGCTCATTTTTTTTAGCTCCGCTATAAGATTCGTATCTGTTCGGTGCTCCTAGGGCAAATTGGATCTTTTTAAAAATTACAAGGGCTTCAATATTATTTTCCCGATTGATTGACCTAGAAGCAACAGTACCATCCCTCCCATAGCAAGTGCTGTATTGTTGCGCGAACGCGGTCGCTAAGCTTGAATATTCACGTCGCGTATTAAACCTGGTCGTTTGCGGTCATATCGAAGCGTAAAGGTCAACAGTGGTTGTTGATGAGCGAGCAATTATTGTGCAGTTGCGATGGGTTTTGTGGAGCAAGCGAGCCAGAAGCAGGAGCACACGTTACCTGCAGATTAGCCTATGGCAATTTGGAGTTGATTTGTCGATTATTCTCGAATTTATAGCGCTTCGTGTGAAGGCACGTGGAGATGGCCTGTTTGTTTTGTAGCCAGCCTTTAATTGTTCTTTAGTGGATAGTACCTACAACTGCAAAACTCAACAAAATGCCACTTAAACCGGCCAGGAAAGACAAGGATACGTTCAGTTGAAGGTATCTTAGCTTTGTTTTGTTATATTTTGACTTTTAGACTATTTTAGTTCATGGGAGTTTCGACGACTCATCGCATTAATTTGTCCATGTGAATATTAATATATTCATTCAGCGACACATACTACGTCTGGGTCGCCTGTGCACGCATTTATAAAATACACGTCATCTGGTTATGAAACACGATCTGCTGTCTTTTAGTTTTGCCATGGATGACATGGATGAGATTTTCCTTCGTGTTTTAGACAATACTTAGTTGTTTTTGTTTTGGAATAACATCGAGATTGGCGAGTAGCAGAACGAAAATATAGTTCAGTGGTAGAGTCATGGAAATAATAAAGCGATGTTTGTCTACTCAAACTAAACCTCCCTCAAAAATAGCAACATTTGCCTCTCCGAGACAGCGTACCAGCACAAAGGAACGAGGAAGAAGTGCAAGAAAACAAGTCAAGCTACCATAATTCAGTGACAGCGGCAGTGTCTAATGGACCGAAACCACATCGCAAGCCCCGACCGAAGTCGAAAACAAGCGACTTTTCTAAGCAGAGTCCCAGTCCACTGCATCACACCTTTTTGCGCGGACGCGCTCGTTTCACCGCCCAACCTTTATCCGCCCTGGAGAGAATGTATGAGAACCGCTCAAATTGGGCCTGATCTCA